CTGGCCGTAGGGGAGCTGAGGGCAGTTGTGGTGGTGGTGGAGAGCCCAGGGCCCAGAGATAGACACCTAGAAAAGAAGACTCCTTGTCAGAGAAGAGGTACTTCCAGGCTGTGCTGCAATAGGGGATTAGAGGCCGAATCGAAGTACTGTACTCGACCTTTTGATCCTTACCTTAGTACTTTACTTTACTACCTTATACATTTACTGCTAGGGGCAAAGGTCGGGTACCAGTGGAGGCAACCTTGGCGGGGGGCTATTGGTACAGTGCCTTGATGAGACTGGGCGGGAGATTCTACGCCAGATCAGCTCCAAATAAGGGACGGAGCTAACTAAAAATGGTCTCAGGAGGGACAAATTGAGCACTAGTATCTGGGCGACCGGATAGCAGCATCAACTACGGACCAACATAAGGTGCCCTATACTTGAGATTCGAGTACATGAGAACATGAAAGAAAGATTTGGTTCAAAGACCCAGTCAAGGAACAAAAGTGCATCGGTTCAATGACAACCGCCAATGCGTGCGTGCGTGCAGCAAACCAATACAAGGGACCGTTGCCTTGCGCAGATGCTGGGCTTTGACACAGTCCAACGAACGAAATGTGAGATGCTGGTGGGCTCTGATGGGGGATGGAGTCCAGGTGGACCCTGTTTGTATTAGGGGCGTTTGAATACATCGAAATATTAATTTACTGCAATTTCCAGGCGATGAGGATCCACGTCCGAATCCGAGGAACATGAGTTTAGTGAGATCCATTCATACTAAAATAAAAATAAACAGTGAATCCATTGTTTCGAATCTTGCTTCCATCCTTCACTTCTTCAGGTGCAGGTGCAGATGCACCACCTACATATGCATGTCTCCGTCAGCACAGCCTTCGAAAGGATGGATATTATTAGGCACTTTTACGATAGTAGCCCATCAAGGCAGCTTCATAGTTTTGCCTCAAGTCCTACTGTTTCTCCCTTTAACCCATTGGATGTTTCTCAGAGAGAGAAAAAAGGAGGAGGGGCCAGAAACGACAATTCCATATTGTCAGCAAATATAAGGGTCCATCCCCATGGATGTCTCTCAAGTAACTACGTGTGTGTCGTTCTCAATATGGAGACAGAAATTACAGTACATGCCTCACCTCTCATCATCAACTATGATCCTTGACTCAAATGTGACAAGACTGAACCCATGCTTGTCCACTGGGCGTTGCTGGGAATGTCTCCGCCTGAAGTCAGCCTGAGCCTCTAACTGGGAGCTGCAGCACTAGGTGAATGGTCAAAGCTGTCCCTAGCAGACAAAGCACGGCTTACTTTGCAGCACCCAGCAGCACCTTGTTTCTCACCACTCGAGGCACGGTGAGTTTATGAGGTCATTCCAATCCCCAGATTCCCCCTTTAAGCCTGGAAACGAAACAGGCTAACTCTCAGTAGAGGGACACAAGAGGGAGAAAGGAGATTTATCATCTCACTAGAGGATCGAGAGAAGCACAGTCAGATTTCTTCTTTCACAGTACGCTACTGCAAATAACCTTGCCGTATTGGAAATTGCTATGATGAAGATCTTATCACGTGTAGGTGTGGAGGATTAGGGGGCCACGTCCAAGAATGCCAACACAAGCCATGCACTAGACAACTGTACAGATAATGTGAAGTTTTATAAGAAGGCTGTGGAGATGGATGATATCTGTGGCAATCGCCTGTAATAGTGTGCGTAGCATCTGTATCTGGAGATTGAGGCCAGTGTCAAAGCGACAAACTGAAAGTTTGTGAAGCAATACCTATAAATTAAAATTACACATACATGCTATGACTAATTACCGGTAATAACAAATAACATAAAGCCATAAACATTCTTGTCGTTTCAAAGTGTGCATCAGAAAAGCCAAGCCGCGCATTGCTAATGCTCATGCACACACACAATCAATCTGATCCTTGAAATTGCTCCACAATCTTCCCGTCAAACCCCAGTCTTGTAAGCATCATATCAACCCTGGCATCATCCTCGAGGTCTCCAGATGCTGATAGACAAGGCACGTGCAGGCTCGGCTATGGATGTGGCATCTGAATAAGATTCAAAGCATCATCATCAAATATTCTCAAGCATGCACTAGCTCCTTGAGTCTCTTCTCAATCTTCTGTCGGCCCTCGAGAGTCCTCCAAACCTCATGGGGTGCTCCGTCGACGATGTCCCAGTTCTTGAGATTCTTGGTCAACTTGGTTAGGTCTCGTTGCTTCTTCTCCCATGTATGGCTATCCTTAATGTGCTTGCCGGAGCTAATAACAACAAGCGGCGTATCCTTGTCCTGGATCTGACGGCTGGTCAGCGCATCTCGCCGAGTGAACGAACCGGCGACCAGACTCTCCTGCAGTTTGGCAAAGATGAACTTGCCATTCTGCTGGGCTGATCGTCCGTATACTCGGTCGCGGCTCGTTCGTCCGCGGAAGATGGCACCGGGGATTCGATCCAGGCCGAGTGGGGAGATAACGCCCCAGAGCCAGAGAACGAATCCTCGGCCGGGTGATGCAACGTTGTCGAGAAGATCCTCATGTAGGGGATCGACAAGGAGCAGACCTTTGATGTGATCTCCGTGGCGCGCTGAGAAGACTCTTGAGTATATCGATCCAATTCCGGCACTTGCGAGGATCCATGGTCCGCTCTCACCAGCACCAGCCAGTGCCTCGCTGAGGGTATCAACCACGAAGCCTGCTGATGATGGAGAGGGTGCGTTATCTGACCAACCGTAGCCAGGTCGATCGGCGAAGCAGTATCGTGAGATGGAACCATTCTTAACGGCGTTATCCGCAAAACCCCAGAAATCGTATTCTACGGTTCGTTCGCCGGCCTCGAACAATACGGTAGGCAAATCGTTGCCCTTGGAGTCAGTTTTATTGCCGTGGCAGTAAACATGGATGCGATATTTGCCGTTGTCAACCGGGTGCAGCTTTCCTGGGTGTGACACACCCGCGTCGAGGGCTCGCAGGATAATGGTTAGAGTGATGAGGAATACAGCCACTGACATGATGGCGTAGGCGACCGTTGAAATCATCACCTCGGACCATTCGAACAAGGTTCGTCTCGTCTCAGCCCGACCAGTCAAGCGTTCCTCCTCTTCAGCCTTGCCCCATTTCACAGTTCGATCGACCACCAGAGCCCAGAGACTGGTGAGTAGTGCCCAGATGACGCTGGTAGCACCGACCCAGCCCTCTTCGTATCGAGTCTTTTGAACGGACAAGATAAGAACCATATCGAGGAGAATAACAACCTATCTGCAGTGTGAGAAAGCGTGGCCAAATGAAGTGTCGCTTGGACAGACTTACGGATATGAAAATAGCGAGAATTCTGACAGATTTGGATGGCACCTCGAAGAAGAGAAGTGTAAAGATGAGATTCGCAAGTGTCCATGTCGCGAATCCAAAAGCAAACCAAGGGCTACCACGAGTTCCAATGCCAGGAGGCGTCACGAAGGTAGAGACAAGAAGTAGAATCCACCAAACAAGCGTTATTAGGGTAAAAGCAATTGTCAAGTATCGCAAGGCTCGAATACTCCAGAGATTATAGGGCGACACTGCGGGATCGTCGGGCGCAAGTAGACCAGGCTGAGTTGAGTTGACGCGGTTCGGGAGAAGTCGAGTATGCTCATCTGGCACAGCTTGTTCACCCTCCTCGGGGTCGTTGATACGGGTAGCTCCATTTGCACCGTTTGGGTGATCTTCGCTTGAGTCTTTTGGGGATGAGAATAGAGGCATTGTGAGAGTGACTTTATTGTTTGTCTCTCAGTTGATGGCTGCTGATGGATGGTCTGAGTGTAAGTATAGGTGAGTGATAGAATGGTGTGAATATGAATGAAACCTATTCTGTCAGAAATCAATCGCTAGTGACACATGCAATACAACATTCATAACATAAAAAAAGCCTATTCATTTCAGACGTTTCTCTAATCTCGAACCTCTCCCAGGGTTCTATATAAACCCATGGACCAACTGCTAACGTATCCATGATGAAGAGGCGAAAAAGTAGAATACGTCATAGGCCAGCCATTTCAGCTCCCCGGGCTGAATATCACCAATCACCATCATTAAAAGCTCACCAGGGAGTACTAGTGCGGACACAAGCTTCCGGGAGATGGAGCTTGGAGCTGAAGCTTGGCTTTTCCCAAAACAATTGCGGTTTAAAATGGCCACTTGATCAAGAGGTTTGTGTTTTGTGTTTCCGATTGCAAAAACAAGGCAGCAATTGAGTTGGCCATCACTGGAAGGGAGGAAGATCGCAGGAATGCGCTGTAAAGTAACTTGATCCAGACCCTAATTGTAAAAGGATAATTCCGTGCATTCACCATCACATGCTCCAGATCATATGATGGGCTTCTTCTTACAATTCTAGATCAGTATTAAATAATATGTAATCAGTCTTGGCTGGCCCGAATCTTCTCGGCATTTGCCATCTTGCAAGTCACAACGCAATCATTCCCCTGTTGGTGTCCCCAAATGACGGCCGTACAACATCATCATAACACAATAATCAAGACTATCTCAAAAATTTCTATCTGAGTCCACTTGTATTTTCTACTGCGTTTGCGGCGGTTATCATTATTCATTAAATCGTTATTTACAAGAAGTTTGAAGCATTCGTTTATTGACGCGTACCTGTCACTCTGCCTGTGCTTTATTTACACCAAGTGCTTCCGCTCATCAAAGTTTCTTAAATTATCACTTCTAGGTGTCGTTTTTTCAATTAAATTTAAGAGTAATAACGATACCAGATTCACACTCTTAAAATTATTATTAAATAAGTATCGTAACTACCAAAATGGAAAGTGGCAATGAGCACGCCGTGTATTATCCATCTTTCCGCAATCATAACAGGGTATCTCTGTATCTATCATTCTTGACCCCATTCCAGATGAACTCCCAGCATTTACGACGGAAGAAATTAACCATCATATAGATCCTTCTCTCCTTATTTTCATACATCGTTACACATTGCCCCATCATAAATATTGCTTCTGGCCTCAAGTGTCCCAGGGAGCAACAGGATTGTATTCCTTGGCACTGGGGACTGTACTGATACTACTCGACACCGAATGAGACGCTTGGCTGAGCCCTGAATATGATTGCGCCTCTTCGCGTTGCTGTCGTGCACGCTCGAGTGCTTTTTCGGGGCTGGGTCCTCGTGTCGAAGTGATAGCGTCGTCGGGTATTTTCCCAATAGGCAGATGCAGCTTGACTGCCGCTTGAGGATCCTTCATGTCGATATTATGCCGTCTGTATGTGTTCCTCTTCTGTTCCTTCATGGCCTGTGCTGATGGTTCACTCACTGATAACCAATCCTTGACCTGAGTAAACCATCGTGATTTTTCCTTCTTGGACTTTCTCGTGTCTGTCGATAACATAGAAATTCTTGATCTATCGTTTCCACTGAGAGATGGGTCATATTCAGACTGTGGGTGGCATGGTATGAAAGCTGATGACCTGGGACTGACAAGTGTCTCTGTGTTTGATCTGGTAGAAGATGACATGGTTGGTTGTATATGAAGCTTGAGAGAATCACCAAGTTGAGTGTTTTCAACAGTCAAGTTGGAAATTTGGTGGATGATACGGATCAATGGAGGGCCTCTAATATATAGGCCAAGGTGTCGGATTGATTGTAGAGATCCAATGCAGCCTGTGTGGACCTGTGAAGGGATGATATGCCAACTGGTATTTTCAGGATATGCCTTGAATAAATGAATAATTTGAAAAGGCGGGCGTATCTAAATTCGGCATAGTCCTCAACCATACGGTGCTCGTGATCTTGGTGATATCGCCTCTGGAGACCTCGATGTCGTAAGAAGGAATATACACAAGCAGACGAAGGGGAATTTTGAAGCTCGATATTGACAAATGCAGGAACAGATAGAACAGCTATGATCGTGTGGCCCCAAACCTTTGGCGTTGGAGGTCAACGGCGGTAGTGGGATGATGCAAGTGCGCGAGTCGTGCAACGCATAAAGGGAAGCACTGCCGACGGCAGCTAGAGGATCGCCGGATGGATGGAATGGAAGAAGAACTATTGCTTCCGGAAGAGCAAGAATCAAGAGAAGGAGAGATAAATAAAACTATCAGAGGGTGTCCAAGGTCAAGAGGATGGATGATGGAGATGTTAAGGACAGAGAGATGGAGGGGATACTCATAAATCACGGAGAAGAGGGGATTTCAAGTGAGGACTGGAGAGGCACATACCATCCAGTTATCCAAAAGTACTAACCTTGTTCCATAGCACAAGAAACAAAACCAATAACCAACCTTGGCAGCATCGAATAGTACAAAGAGGTACTTTTCATGCATTACCCTACCCATCCATCCTTGTCACAAGCCTCCAGCGTCACTCTAGCTCCATCACACCCTCACAAACTGGTTTACGATATCCGATCTTGGTCTAGGTCGAGCTGAAGAGCCAACACGAAAATTGCTCACTTGAGCTACTGATTGGATGAGAGTTGGTATGAAGCCGAGAACCTTCTCGTGGGACGGTGCAACGGCGAGGCCTTGTGGCTTGTCCAGGTCTATGTAGTAGCTGAAGCTGTCTCCGAATGTTTGTGAGTTGGTGGCTTTGGCGGCGTTCAACAAGTGAATTCACCCTGGAAGAAAAAGACGGGCTAGTTCCAAATGCCGAGGCACCGTTTGTCAATTCGAGTCTTCTTGCGAGGCCGAGTCTTGTAAAAGGCGTCAAAGTGTAGACTATCTTCTCAACCCGAGGCTACCGTTAATCGGTAACGCAAAAGTGTCAAACGCCTCTACTGACGATCATTAACCAGACCGGAAATCTGCAGCATCTCACGTTGATGTTTAGGTGGCTGGCTGGACCTCAGATCAAGTGATACAGAAAAATCAATTATGCGGGTTTTCATGGCACTCGACGTGTCGATCAGGCTGTCAAGCTTTCAAACCGTCAACAGCCATTGATAAGAAGCACATGCTGAATTGACCCTTTTTATGCAAATCATTTACTAGCTCTTGATGGTGTTTGCTAACAGAATTTACTACTCCGACACTAACGGAGTTGTGCTCCGTTAACTGTAGGCATTTTCGGATTGCTCTACAAAGTCTACAGCAGAGTTTATCATCTCCCACTTTTATTTCTCATGCCCCTGACTACCGCCAACGTCTTCACTAAGGCTTGCAAAATGCCGTGTCTCGGTGCACAAAGAAAAAGCCATCTTGGCTGAGCGTAAGGCCGCTAATGCACAAAGGCTGAGATGGCGCTCGAACATCAAGACAGAAGTCTGACTTTCGAGCTCTTTTTGGACACGGCAGTATGTCTGAGACCTATTGTGTTCATATGATTTCCGAGAACTTGGTACAATGGGAGTCGAGACCAAATGATCGACACATCTCGGTTCAACGTTGAACCTAACAGGATGGATGGCTTGAAATGCACGCGGGGGGGGAAACGTCACCCATCTTGAGCCATCAAGCTGGCTGTGGCAAAATGCGAAGAGACAAAGAGTGTTCTACATGTAGCTACCGGATACTGCATACGTAATTAGACCTCAAGCCATGTTAATCTTGGGTAAACGTTCCATTTGAGCTCCATGAATAGTCAGACATCCTCTCTTGGTCAAACCGACCCTTTAAGCCAAGTTCTTCTTTTTCCATGCATGTGCTTGCAAACAGTCGGAAAGGGCAATAATTGTCGCCTATCTTGTGCCTTAACAGCTGAGACATTGTGTTTCTCAAGTCTCGACAGGAAATGACAATCCACTTCAGGCTCTTGGGACAGCTTTGTGTTATCAGGCTCCACTCTAGTGAGTATTGACGTATGACAAGAGCTCGTCATTGTGGTTCTGTGAAACCCGTCCCTCTGAAAACACGCACCCTGCAGTAAACAGAGCCGTGTCTATGTCTATTTGTGTTTATGCCTTTATAGAAACGGAAGTGAATGTCTCAGATGGCCAGATTATAGGATGGTCCGTGCTTACTTGCATCGGAGTTGGCGCGAGATCTTGTTCGATCGTTAAATATGGAGATCCATTACCAGGGTTCATCCTAGCAATGTCCTCCACTGTCCATTAAGCCCCACTCTTCCACTCTAAAGCACCGAAACTCAGACTCACTGAGTTAAGGTTGAGTTGAGACGCTTAGAAAACCTCACGGTCCCCATGTAAATCAAGACGCCTTCTCTAAATAATAAACTCAACAAATTCATGCGCTTTGATCTCGATTTGCATCCTTGTACAGTTGCACTGACCTTCACCCTTGCACGATTCTAAAACAGAAATAGACCGCTATGCATCTGACGTTACATCCAAAGCCTCTCCTTAGTTAATCAGGCTTGGCTGACCCCCGCCATAAGCTGCTCCTTTAGAGGGGTTACAACAGCCCAATTACCTTGTTGAGACACCTGACATCCATTCCATGTCCTGCTTTCACCAAGCGTCCCGATCCCGTCCCGTCCACTTCTCTTCTCACTTCCCTCATCTTCTTTCCTGTGTCCCACGTCTTTGCTCCTATTGGACCATCCTTACTTCCTCCTCCGCCGTCGTTCGGAGCTCCCCGGTGATATCTCCGTTCTTCGGTGCCTAGCTCATAATCAACTTGCGCACGAGCTTACATCTTCGTCAAGTCAACAAAGCAACATCTTCAGCGGCGCAACTCGATCATGCCCGCCCTCACAATCAACACCGACAATCCTCCTAGCAATAATCCCCCTTCTCCGACCCGACCGCCTGTTTCCCCTATCACACCTCCCTTGCGTCCTACCCAACGCCCCACGACCGAAGCTACAGGCGCCGGGGCCAGCGGTCGTCCAAGCCTTACACATTCACAACCCGACCAGACTGCGATACCACCGCCTGCACCTCAACCAATAGCCTTTGATTCCAACCCAGACGTCATTGCGCTCAAGTCGGCGATTTCCATTCTACAAATTCAGCGACAGCGCGCCACTGCCGACATCCAAGCTCTCAGTCGCGCAAAAGATGAAGCTGTACAGGACCCTGAGGCTTTCATAAAAGACCTTGTCACAGGAAAGATCAATGCGCCTGAAAACGACAGCGATAGTGACGATGAAGATACAAAGCTGAGCGGTCAAGGCACCAGCAATCAACAAGACCCCGGTGAAGGGTCCTCCAAGCAGCGCATCGCTACCCAACCACCAGCATGGACGAATATTCCCCAGCCGCAAAACGTGGTTCGCTGCCCGCCCATCAACTGGTCGCAATATGCTGTGGTCGGTGACTCCCTCGACAAACTTCACAACGAACAAGTCACGCGTCCCAACCAGGGTACACCAGCAACGATAGGCGCAAACGGCATATACGAATTCAGAGGTGAAGGAAAGCAAGAGAGATACCAAGGTGTGGCAGCGCCCTATGCCCCAACCCAGGATCGCCTGAACAAGAAGCCCAAGAGTAGGAGGTCATGAGAAATTATGGCACCATGATTTACGAAAGAACGAATCATATACACAGATTTTTGGTATTGTCTTTGAGCGGAACCTTGATGCAGTGGATACATCCCATTTACATATCGGCGTTAGATGATAGATGGTTGGCGTTTCAGAGGGTGCAAATAATACAACCCAACATTTCAATTATGCTGATAACATTAGCAACGAAACCAAATAAACCATTATGCTGAAATTAACATTTAGGTACTGAATAACAAGTGAGAGGAAAGCCGTTTTCAATATTCTGAAGCTCTCAATCGTGCTTGTACTGAAGAAACGTCTTCAATACACTAAAGCCTGTAGGTCTTATCTCTTTGAGCGGCACAAGGCATCAAAGAAGTCAATCGCCCCACTTGACCCCACGTACAGCGAGTCTACATAAGATAGGTGAGGCTGTCTCCAAAAGGGCTGTATTTCTCTGTAACTGGTCTACCTCTATTACAGTATAGCCTCTTTTTTAAGCCTATTTTATTGGCTCCTATCTTTCTCAAGCTATCCTTATTGGCTATCAGTCTTCTATATACAAGCTGGTCTGTATTGGCAGAATTAATTCCTCTGGTTGGCTCGTTACCCCTGTATTGACCGCTTTGATGCCTTGTGCCGCTCAAAGAGATAACCAGAATCAAAAGTAAATCAATACGTCTTCACTGGGGCAAAGAAGCAGGTAAACACGATATATCTCATATGTCTACACTAGTCTTGTGTAGATTATGCCACATGTATCATCACATGATCATGGCAAATCAAGTCAACCACATTTTAAAGAAATGGTCCAATCCTCAGACCATGCCATTTCAACATGAACCACAGGCCCCAACGCCATGTAAATCAGATCAATGCCCCTGATGATTACCTAGTACGCCCCCGTGATATTTTCATCTAAATCCTGATATCAAGCCTAACGGAGCACATGGGCTACTCTGGGAAGTCCCTGTAAAGTTAGGTTAGCTTGCACATGTAATGACTGCAAGACACCTTGATCAAATACTTACTCCATGCTCTGCTGTACTGATCGACGAAGACGTCGGTTGTACGTTTTCTTGTCATCTGCGCTTCCTCCCCAGTACATCTTGGTCGCTTCCGGGTTCACAATTTTACGTGGGTCATAGGCTGGTTCGTCATCTTCAAGAATCGTGAAGATAGCATCAATGTGCGATCGCACATCTTCCCGTTTCATGGGGTTCGGAGTGTAGCATGCTGTACCGTCTGCAGCGATGTGGTGATGAAAGATCTTCGTCTCGAATTTGACACGAGGTTGCTCCTCGGGGAAACGGACGCTGAAGTTCATTTTGATTCTGAACAGACCACCATCGAGGTTGGTCATAGGACGTCCGAAATAGGTTATGACCCAGACGAATGGGTTTTCGTTCTCAAGAAAAACGTCATGTGGCATATCACTTCGTTTGAATGCCTCGACAACCTGTTCGAACTGATGCTGAAGATTAACAGCAACAGTTGTCTCCCGCTTCTTGGCGTCTAGGCCCTCCACGGCCCATTTCTCAGGCTCCGCGTCGATGGCAGCCTTGATAACTTGCAGGCGGTTTCCGAGCTCGGGATAATTGAATTTCCCATCCATCGAGTTGTTTCCTGGGGACTCGAACGGCATTCTCGTGAACGGCTGGTTTGGCTTGGTTTCTGATTTGCCTTTTTCGATCGCAGCGAGGTATGACTCGTAATACCAAAGAAAGCGGCGTTTGCATAGATCTCTGAAAGGTTCGAAGGGAACGGTAGCCTCGTCAATATCATCATCATCCATCTCATTTGCTCCTGGAATATTGTGCGACTGAGTGCTACCGCTGTTCATTCCAATATAGCCCTCCAAACGTTGGATGACACTGATACGTAGTGTCTCGTGACGAATCTGCCCGAGTCAGAAAGTTCACACAGGACTTGATATGGCAACAGACCTTTTGAATGTAGTCCTTTTGATTTTTCTTGTCGCTTTCATCATTGGCATCCTCGAATCCTGGTTCGTTTTCGTAGGGGTTGGATGATAGGAGACTTTGGATGGACAACAGGATTGATTCGAGTCCTTGCGCAGATGACCACTCCTCTCCACGTTCCCCGCGCCATGTTCTAGTCGATGTCAGTTCGAAACCCAATTCTCTTACATGATTACAAATACCCTAGAATTGATCTGACAGTGTTAGTGCATGAGAATAGTAGGGGAACAACATGCAATTACTCACAGACAGACTTTCCCGTTACTGTAGACATTGGGGTTGAAGCGACAACGTCCCCCGTTTGTGGTGATACAGATTACACTCGGGGATTTGGAAGGATATTCTGTCATCAAGCATGAGACTAATCTTTATCATGGCAAGGGGGGCTCTACCTCTGTGGAACCGAATGGCAAACTGTCAAGTTGAATCAGCCCATCTTTTCAAAAATCAGAATACATTCGGCGCTCGTGACAAACCTCGAAAAACCCGAATTCATAAGGAGTCTCATGGGGACCCATGATCAGGGCCTTTACATTGCGAACATCAATATCGCGACATGCCACGGCGAGCGCTGTAATATAGGGTGATGGCGTGGTCAGTTTCTTCTTTCGAATGCGTGGTGTATGCCAATAGGCAAAAGCGACATACACAAGTCACAGTTCTTCTGGATGTCACCCAGCTCCTTAGCATAGTGTTAGTATCTCGAGGGTGGAATCGTGAACGAAGGGGTGGGAATGCCAGCGAATGCGGGGCAACGAACCTTGGAGATGCGAATGATAGACTGGTCCATGGCGCCTCGTATATTGCAGTCTAGATGTTGATGTTTGAGAACGAGCACTGACTGCAGGGCGCGACGCACATGGACAAGTTGCGACCAAGTATGAGGTTATCGATATGAAGTTTTGGGCGATGAATGTCAAGGTAGGTAGTTAAAGGATAATGTAAGGGTAGACGTTGGAGTCGTGAGGCGTGAGTTGAGTGAGTATCATTAAGGCCGTAGGAGGAAAGTGGGGGAGAGGGGAGGCTTCATTGGGTGGGCAGGCAGCTTTTACAGCTTCACCACCTATCAACAGATGGCAGAACTTTACCTTACCTATCAATGCCCTGATCCTAAAATTGAAAGCCACTTAACTAATAAATGTGAGCAGTTTTATTTCGTATCAAGGAAGTGCGGTTGGTATTATTCACTTTGTCCTCCTTCTCAGCTATACGGCCATACAGCCATCAGGATACCTAGATATTCGTGATTCAACAAGTCAAAACTAACACATTACCTTAGCACCCATATAATGAGTAATTACATTCAATGCACATTGGATTTGCAACAAGCGATTCCAATCATGATTATCCTATAAAAATGAACAGACGTAGAACGCTCCTAAACCATTGGTCTTCTGAAACGAGCTGGGGCTGTCTCTTTGTCTGCATATGGCCACTGACCGTGAGTTATGTAAAGTGTTTGCTGGTCAAAACCACGTGTCTTAGCAAACAACGGGATACAGAAAAAAATATATCAGCTTCCATGTCCAATCAAGCCTTTGTTATATTCTCATCAAGTATGGTGATATATCTGATAACTTGTTTGCATGAAAAGTCAACGGAAGCCAGAGAGTCTGTGTAAGGTGTATAACCTTCATGCAAGAATCTAATCATAGTTTTGGTATACATATCGGACATACGAAATTTCATACAGAAAAGGCCTACAGAGTACAACAATATATACACACTTGAAGTCTTGAACATGTCCGATAATGTTCATGTAGATTAAACTATGAACTACCCGGGAGCTCAAAGAGGTGGGCCCAGCGGGGTGCAGTTAGGTACATGCCTAGAGGTTGTGGTTGCCATTGGTGACGCGCTGCGCGTTTCTTAACGCGTAAATTGGTTTCTCTTAGCTCCCATCAATGCAAGTCGGTGATTTTATATCGGCATTTCGCACACTGATCTCCTCCTCCTTCATCCACAAACTCAGCCACGGGTAGACCGACACGCTAGCATATCATTGAATCAATATGGCTAGCTTTTTCGATCTCAAGGCCAGAAAGGCAGCAGCGGCAGCCAACAGTAACGCTGACCAGAAGCAAGATAAACCTTCAAATGCTCGAACTCAACCCTGGGTCGAGAAATAGTATGTGAAACTCGAGATACAATCTATTCCTCGAGACTTACCATATTCAGCCGACCAAAGACCCTCAGCGATGTCACTGCCCAAGATCATACCGTCGATGTGCTCCAAAGGACACTGCAGTCCTCCAACGTACGAACCCTCCTTGCTCTTAACTGCAAGAAGCTTCAGTACTGATGCTTCTTAGCTCCCTCACATGTTATTTTACGGGCCTCCCGGTACAGGTAAAACTTCGACAGTTCTAGCACTCGCCAAGGAGCTCTACGGTCCCGATATGATAAAGTCGAGAGTCCTCGAACTCAATGCCTCCGACGAGCGTGGTATCTCCATCGTCCGAGAAAAGGTCAAGAACTTTGCGCGAATGCAATTGACCAACCCGGCACCTGGCTACAAGGACAAATACCCTTGCCCTCCTTTCAAGATCATCATCCTCGACGAGGCCGACTCCATGACACAAGACGCCCAAAGTGCACTACGACGAACCATGGAAACATACAGCAAGATTACTCGATTTTGTCTGATTTGCAACTACGTCACTCGAATTATCGACCCGCTTGCCAGTCGATGCAGCAAATTTCGGTTCAAGAGTCTCGACCAGAGCAATGCAAAGAAGCGACTGGAGGAGATTGCAGAGAAGGAGGGCGTGCAACTTGAGGCTGGTGCTGTTGATGCACTCATCAAGTGCAGCGAGGGCGATCTTCGAAAAGCCATCACCTTCTTGCAAAGTGCTGCTCGGCTCGTCAGCGCTAATGCTCCTGACAAGGAGGCCGAGGGTGACGAGGTGATGGATGTGGACAAGAAGGCGGTCACAATCAAGATCGTTGAGGATATTGCTGGTGTTATTCCGGACACTACCATCGATGATCTTGTCAAATCAATACGTCCGAAGAAGTCTGGATCATCCTATCAGAGCATCTCAGATGTTGTTGAGCAGCTAGTTGCAGATGGCTGGAGTGCAGGTCAAGTTGTTAACCAAGTAAGTCTAGTCCTCCATGTGACTGAATTGGCTGCTAATGATCCACAGCTCTACCAAGCCTTGACATATGACGAGACTATACCCGATGCGCAGAAGAACAAGATCGTGTTGGTATTCTCAGAAGTTGACAAACGACTAGTAGATGGAGCAGATGAGCATCTTTCTATTCTTGACCTGTCAGTGAGGATATCAACTATCATGGCGAAGAAGTGAGCTCTCGGCTTTGTGTCTAGTGTGCTGTATCAAGCAATGTGGGACGGAGTCATGGTTAGAAATGGTTTGGCGTTTAAACTGGCTCTATATCACCAGACATCTATTGTACTTGACGTTATTATCCTAATCCTGTGCTGTGTCTCCCTGACCAATTAATCCGAGGTTACCTTGCAGACTAGACCACGCATCTCTCGGCTCCATGCTTTTCTCTGTATGCTTTCTCGCCTTGCTTGGAGATTTGGGACCTGCCTCAAGCCAAACGTCATCTTCCGTTGTATCGGCCTGCGTTTCTTCTTCCTCAGCCGCCTCGTCCTGACCCAGAAGCTGGTCAATTTCTTGTAATGTCTGCATTGAGTTTTCTAACGCAAGCTGTCCACCTTCGATCTGCTCCGCCACATTCTCCAGTGTAGTGATCTTGGCCGAATCTGCAGCGAGAACCCAAGGTTGAACCTTGCCTGTCAAACCTGAACGTTCGTCTGAAGCAAGGAACTCTCCCAGTCCAGACCTCCTCCGAGATGTCGGTGCCACTGAATGAGATGGAAGCAGCTGACTTTCTTCTTCTAAATGACTGAGCGACTGACAGTTGTACTTAATTTCTTTCCCGAGAGTCGTATTGACATGTGCTTTTTGTGTTATCATGGCCTTCTGCTTTTTGGAAAGTGCAAGAAGAGTCTCGATGTATGGTGTCAGGAGGAAGGTGCTTGATGCAGGTTCTGGTTCCTCAATTTGTTGCTTGGTGGAGGAGGGTGCCAGAACAGGGACAGCTGATGACTCGAATCGCTCACCAGCAGAAGCGAGAAGGGACCTCCTCATTGCAAGATAACTGGCGTACTTTTCTTTGATGATGTTGAGATGGCTGCTTATCGTCGCTTGGTCCGCTGTTGATTGGCTATGGCTCTTGGAACCGTCCTCATCCCGATCCTCATCCCCTGATGCTTTACTCAGTTCTGTCTCAATCCAATTGATAAGCTCATTCCTTGTTGTATTAAGAGCATGTAGTCTGATGCCATTGCTGATAACGTCTGGTATACTCTGAGCATTTGCTCTCGTTTCTCGAAGTAACTGCTCCTCTCGTCGCAGAAGGAGTTTAGCCCTCAAGACGGTCTTTTCAAGCTGTGCCACTTGTTCTGTTAAGTCCGTCTTCTTCATGCTTTGTTGTGCGACAAGGCTGTTTACCACCTCTTTTGGGACGTTCGGTAGACTGACAGCATCATGAAAAACATCCTCAGGATCCAGATATTCAGGAGCAGCGGCTGGTTTTTGCATGAGTGAGTCCAGGTGGTTTTGAACGGCTGTAAGTCGTGCTTGTTTGGCCTGGAGCTTCAGAAGTGACACCTGCTCTTCTAGTAGCTCGTTGCCGGATGAGAGTTCTTTGGCTAATGACGAAGAGGGAAGATTAGATTGTGCAGCATCTTCATAATTTCGACGCGCATCAACGTTTGCCTTTAGAGCCTCAATGTACTCCCTGTAGATTCCCTTTGAACTTGAATCTAGAGTTACGTCGCGCGTTGGATCTGCCAAAGACACAGGCTGTTTGACCGGGCCATCATGAGAACATGTTCCGATATGAAGAGCCAAAACTCGTCGAATGTAGTTCACTTGTTCCCGTGGCTTGATATATGGATCAAGTGTCTTCTGAAATGTCTCAACGGTCTCGGAAGGATTTGTCATTGTGAATCATGGTTTGTCGGTGAAGAGATCCCCGGTTTAGGCTTGTTGCTCTGGTCTTAAGTAAATAGACGAAATATGTTAGCACATGGGCAGCTTAGACAGTCCTGAACTGTGGCTAGTGTCCTCTTGACCAACGTCCCGATGACTACGCAATAAATCAACAGAATTGAGACCTTTGGTCACATTAAAATTTGAATCTGCCCTCCAAATTCCTTTTCTTCGTAGTCTTGTAAACACTCAGATGTCTTGAAAAGCATAAATCATGAGCTGAGCTCCAGCCCCGTGTGCATTTGCGCCACACAAGCTCTTATCCGAACCTGGCCTAGCGCAGTAGCCTGCTAGGCTGAGATCCGAAATTTACGATCGCGACTTGAACTTCTAAACCTTGTGACAACTACAAATCTTTCCAAAACGACTGCGCATCAATCGCAGAATACAACATATTCAGGCAACGGCTATATATCGGATTTAGTCGCGTCGGTGGCAAACTCATGGTTATTTAAGAGCCAAGCGCCCCAGGCTTTGTCGAGAACATCGACGTTCTCTATTAATTACAACATAATAATCTAGCCATCATGTCCGACGCAAATCGAGATGTGTCGCAGTACAAGTACTCGGCCATGTCGAACCTGGTTCTCCAGGCCGACCGTCGATTCGTTACAAGACGAACCGATGAGGCTACTGGTGATCCAGAGTCGCTGGCCGGTCGCTTGAGCATTCGAGATATGGGTGCTCGAGTTGCACGCGACGACGCGCCGAAACCGAAGAAACAGCCTGGACTCCCCGACATCGAGCGAGGCAGCCTCAGAGAAGGCGAAGATATTCTGGCACGAGAACAGCGCAGACGAAAAGCAGAGGCGCCTCAATCGACAGGTGTCCTCGGCGCCAACGATCTCTTGGTGGAAGGCATCACATACCGACCACGAACCGCAGCGACGCGAGCGACTTTCGATCTCATCATCACCTTGGTAGCAAAAAATCTCGGCGACGTACCCCACGAGGTCGTACGTAGCGCGGCGGATGCTGTCCTGGAATATTTGAAGGATGATGATTTGAAAGATCTGGACAAGAAGAGGGAAATCGACGACATCTTGGGTGTAACACTAAATCCCAAGGAATTTAATGAGTTGGTGAACCTCGGCAAGAAGATCACAGATTACGACGCCCAGGACGATGATGAAGATGTCGCGATGGGTGGCGCCGACGGTGAGGATGCTGAAATAGATGAGCGCCAGGGTGTGGCAGTCGCCTTCGATGAAGATGAAGAGGATGACGAGGAAGGCCTTGTTCATGAAGTCCGTGACGAATCTTCAGAGGACGAAGAGGAAGAGGAAGAGGAAGAGAAGGAACAGAGTGCTGAGGGCAAGGAAGAAGATGCTGTCGCTGACGTTGGGGATGAGATGATTCTCGACTCGGCGCCTTCAGGAGGCAAACAAGACGAGCAAGCCAAGCATAGCATACCAGCCCGAGACATCGATACATTTTGGTTACAACGGCAAATCGGCACACTATACCCCGACGCTCATGAGCAAAGCGACAAAACAAAGGAGGCTCTTAAGATCCTGTCAGGAGAACCTGGTGAGGATGGCGAGGAAAAGTCCTTACGTGATGTTGAGAACGATCTCATGGAGTTGTTCGACTACGAGCACCACGAGTTGGTTCAGAAGCTTGTTGAGAACAGGGAGAAGGTTTTCTGGCTTACAAAATTAGCACGAACACAGAGCCCCGAAGAGCGCGCTGACGTCGAGCGCGAAATGGTCTCAGAGGGTCTCCAATGGATTCTCAACGAACTCAAGGGCAAAGACGCTGCTGAGGGCAAGAAGGGCAAGATTGACATCAAGATGGACATTGATGTCCCAGCTTCCTTTACCGCTGATGGACCCAAGGCTGAACGCGCTGAGGGCCAGCTTGTTGGTGGGCTTCAACCTCGAAAGCTCATCAACCTCGACAACCTGGTCTTTGATCAAGGAAACCACCTTATGACAAACCCCAAGGTCAGGCTACCAGAAGGCTCAACCAAGAGGACATTCAAGGGCTATGAAGAAATTCACATCCCTACTCCTAAGAAGCGCAATGAGCCCGGCGATGTCTTGATACCCATTTCTGATATGCCAGAGTGGTCACGAAACCCTTTCAGTAAGAATCAGTCCTTGAACAAGATTCAGTCCAAGTGTTATCCTTCAGCATTTGATGACGATGGAAATATGCTTGTTTGTGCTCCTACTGGTAGTGGAAAGACCAATGTTGGTATGCTTGCTATTCTCCGCGAGATTGGAAAGCACCGCAACCCTGAGACCGGCGATATTGATCTAGATGCCTTTAAGATTGTCTGTATTGCCCCTTTGAAGGCTCTAGTTCAGGAACAGGTTGGCAATCTGGGTGGCAGGCTTGAGCCTTATGGTATTCGGGTTTCAGAATTGACTGGTGATCGTCAACTTACCAAGCAACAAATCGCCGAGACACAGATCATCGTCACAACCCCCGAAAAATGGGATGTTATCACCAGAAAGTCCAATGATTTGACCTACACCAACCTCGTTCGCCTCATCATTATCGACGAAATCCATCTTCTCCACGACGACCGTGGCCCTGTACTTGAAAGCATTGTTAGCCGAACCATCCGCAAGACTGAACAAACTGGCGAGCCAGTTCGAATTATTGGTCTTTCTGCCACCCTGCCCAACTACAAAGATGTTGCGAGCTTCTTGCGAGTGGACACGAAGAAGGGTCTCTTCCATTTTGACGGATCTTTCCGACCCTGTCCTCTGCGACAGGAGTTCGTTGGTGTCACTGACCGTAAAGCCATCAAGCAGCTGAAGACCATGAACGACGTCTGTTACAACAAGGTGATTGAGCATGTGGGCACAAACCGTAACCAGATGCTTATCTTTGTGCATTCCCGAAAAGAGACTGCCAAGACTGCTCGCTACATCCGCGATAAGGCTCTTGAGTCAGACACAATCAACCAGATCCTTCGTCACGATGCTGGTAGTCGTGAGGTCCTCAACGAAGCGTCTTCACAGGCAACTGACCAAGATCTCAAGGATATTCTGCCATATGGTTTCGGTATCCACCATGCTGGTATGAGCCGAGCTGACAGGACAGATGTCGAAAATCTTTTTGCCCATGGTGCTATCCAGGTCCTGGTGTGTACTGCTACGCTGGCCTGGGGTGTGAACTTGCCTGCCCATACAGTTGTTATCAAGGGAACACAGGTTTACTCCCCCGAGAAGGGTAGCTGGGTCGAGCTCAGCCCTCAAGACGTTCTTCAGATGCTTGGACGTGCGGGTCGACCCCAATACGACACGTATGGAGAAGGTATCATCATCACGACGCAGAGTGAGATGCAATACTATCTCTCACTTCTGAACCAGCAGCTCCCGATTGAAAGTCAGTTCGTCAGTAAGCTGGTGGACAATCTCAATGCCGAAATCGTCCTCGGCAACGTAAGGACTCGTGATGAGGGTGTTGAGTGGTTGGGCTACACATACCTCTTTGTCAGAATGCTTCGCTCGCCTGGACTTTACCAAGTGGGTGCAGAGTACGAAGACGACGTGGCTCTGGAGCAGAAGCGAGTCGACTTGATTCATTCTGCCGCCATGGTTCTGCGAAAGTCAAATCTCATCAAGTATGATGAAAAAACCGGAAAACTCCAGTCTACTGAACTTGGTCGTATCGCTTCGCATTACTACATCACGTCCGGTTCTATGGAGACCTACAACAACCTCATCCAGCCTTCCATCACTACAATCGAGCTCTTCCGCGTCTTCGCCCTCAGTGCTGAATTCAAGTATATTCCTGTTCGACAGGATGAGAAGCTTGAGTTGGCTAAGCTGCTGGGCCGAGTCCCGATTCCTGTCAAAGAGAGCATTGAGGAGCCCCACGCCAAGATAAATGTCCTCTTGCAAGCGTACATCTCGCGCCTCAAGCTCGAAGGCCTCGCGCTCATGGCCGACATGGTGTACGTTACACAATCTGCTGGCCGTATCTTGCGCGCTATCTTTGAGATCGCAATGAAGAAGGGCTGGGCATCCGTTGCGAAGACTGCTCTAGACCTCTGTAAGATGGCTGAGAAGCGGATGTGGCCAACAATGTCACCTCTTCGACAATTCCCCTCTTGTCCCCGGGAGGTTATTCAGAAGGCTGAGAAAATCGATGTGTCTTGGAGCAGTTACTTTGATCTGGATCCTCCTCGCATGGGCGAGCTTCTTGGCCTTCCTCGAGCCGGTCGTACTGTTTGTGGCTTGGTCAACAAGTTCCCACGAGTCGAAGTCCAGGCTCAGGTTCAACCGATGACAAGATCGATGCTACGTGTCGAACTGAGCATCACACCTAATTTTGAGTGGGATGATGCTATCCACGGTGCCGCAGAGAGCTTTTGGGTTCTTGTTGAGGACTGCGATGGAGAGGACATCCTTTACCACGACACTTTTTTGCTGCGCAAGGAATACGCCGAATCGGAGCAAAATGAGCACATTGTCGACTTCACTGTTCCTATCACAGATCCAATGCCTCCGAACTACTTCGTTTCGGTTATCTCTGACCGATGGATGCATGCTGAGACCAGACTTCCTGTTCCTTTCCATAAGTTGATCTTGCCTGAGAAGTTCCCTCCTCATACAGAACTTCTTGAGCTTCAGCCTCTCCCCGTTTCTGCTCTCAAGGTGTCAAGCTATGTTGATCTCTATCCTGCATGGAAACAGTTCAACAGAATCCAAACACAGACTTTCAATTCGCTGTACAAGACTGATGCGAATGTGTTTATTGGAGCTCCCACAGGTAGCGGCAAGACGGTTTGTGCCGAGTTTGCTCTTCTAAGGCACTGGACAAAGGGCGATGTTGGTCGTGCTGTGTATATTGCCCCCTTCCAAGAACTCGTTGACTCTCGCCTTCAAGATTGGCAGAAGAGGCTCAACCATCTGAATGGCGGCAAAGAAATAGTGAAGCTTACTGGTGAGACGGCAACAGATCTCAAGCTTCTGGAAAAGGGCGACTTGATCTTGGCAACCCCGACTCAGTGGGATGTGCTATCAAGACAATGGAAGCGACGCAAGAACGTTCAGACAGTTGAGCTGTTTATTGCTGACGAGCTCCATCTCCTTGGTAGCTCTCAAGGTTATGTGTACGAGACGATCGTCTCTCGTATGCATTACATCCGCACGCAGACAGAATTACCCCTGCGAATTGTCGCATTGAGTGTATCGCTGGCGAACGCTCGAGACATTGGTGAATGGATTGATGCAAAGAAGCACGACATCTATAACTTCAGTCCACATGTTCGACCAGTCCCCCTTGAGCTTCACCTCCAGTCATTCACAAATACTCATTTCCCTTCTCTCATGCTAGCCATGGCCAAGCCCACGTATCTGGCCATCACACAAATGTCTCCTGACAAGCCTGCCATGATCTTTGTGCCCAGCCGCAAACAGACCCGTGCAACTGCCCGAGATTTGTTGGCTGCAGCCTTTGCTGACGATGATGAGGACCGTTTCCTCCACGCTGAGGTAGAGCAAATGAAGCCTCTGCTTGAACGTATTAACGAGGAGGCTCTTGCCGAGGCCCTCTCTCACGGTGTTGGCTACTACCATGAGGCTCTTAGCCAGAGTGACAAGCGAATTGTCAAGCATCTCTACGACAATGGCGCTATCCAGGTGCTTGTTGCTTCACGCGATGTTTGCTGGGAGCTCAACAGCACAGCTCATCTCGTCATCGTTATGGGTACACAGTACTTTGAAGGTCGTGAGCATCGATATGTTGACTATCCTCTCAGTGAGGTGTTGCACATGTTTGGTAAAGCTCTTCGACCGTCCAAGGATGGCCGAGGCCGCGGTGTCCTTATGCTGCCGCAAGTGAAGCGCGAGTACTACAAGAAGTTCCTCAACGAAGCCCTTCCTGTCGAGTCGCATCTGCACAACTACTTGCACGATGTCTTCGTGACGGAGATCAGTACCAAGATGATTGAGTCGGGTGACGATGCGATCAACTGGACTACTTTCACCTACTTCTACCGAAGGCTGCTTGCCAACCCAAGTTATTATAGCTTGACAAGCACAACGCATGAGGGTCTCAGCAACTACATGTCTGACTTGGTTGAGACGACTCTCCGTGAGCTCAGCGAATCCAAGATCATTGAGTTTGACGAGGATGACGGCTCCGTGGCACCTCAAAACGCAGCCATGATTGCGGCATACTACAATATTTCCTACATCACGATGCAGACTTTCTTGCTCTCTTTGAGTGCTCGCACGAAGCTCAAGGGCATCATGGAAATTGTCACTTCCGCAACGGAGTTCGAGTCGATCCAGATTCGACGTCATGAAGATGGTCTATTGCGACGCATCTACGACCGAGTGCCTGTCAAGATGTCTGAACCAGTTTATGACTCCCCTCACTTCAAATCTTTTGTCCTGCTCCAGTCTCACTTCTCCCGTATGCAGCTGCCAATTGATCTTGCAAAGGATCAGGAGGTCCTGTTATCGAGGGTTTTGAGCCTTCTTAGTGCCATGGTTGACATTCTGTCCTCGGAGGGACATCTCAACGCCATGAGCGCTATGGAGATGTCACAGATGATTGTTCAGGGAATGTGGGATCGGGACAGCCCTCTTAAACAAATTCCTCACTTCTCACCGGAGGTTGTCAAGGTGGCTAATGAGTTTGGGTACGTACTGAGTAATGATTTGTTTGGACCGTCAGCTAACGTTATTCGCAGAATCAAGGATATCTTTGATTTCATGGAAGCCATGAATCCGGACGAGAATGCCGATTACAACAAGCTTGTTAAGCGACTTGGCTTGTCACAAAACCAATTGGCACAGGCAGCAAACTTCACAAACGACAAGTACCCTGACCTGGAGCTTGAACATGAGGTCCTAGACGAGGATGAGATCAGGGCAGGTGAACCGGCTTACCTGAACATCAAGATTGCTCGCAATTTGGATGAGGAAGACGGCGCTTATGACTCTACCGTACACGCACCATTCTACCCGTCCAAGAAGATGGAGAACTGGTGGCTGGTTGTTGGTGATGAGAAGACCAAGAGCCTCTTGGCCATCAAGCGAGTGACAATCGGGCGGGAACTAAACGTTCGCCTCGAGTACACTGTGCCATCACCAGGTGAGCATGATCTGAAGCTGTTCCTAATGAGTGATAGTTATGTTGGAGTCGACCAAGAGCGGGAGTTTTCGGTTACAGCAGCCGAGGGCATGGACGTGGATGACGATGAAGAGGACGAGGACGAGGACGAGGACGAAGACGAGGAGTAGAAGCTCAAAGCTCACTCCGAAATTACAATTACCACGGCGATTGCCAGCGATGGCGTTGTACACTACTGCAGACCACGAATGCGAATTTAGGAGATAATAATCGAATCTATCAACTCGGGACTATGACTGAGATCTGCTTCTTGAGATGAGTTTTCTGGATACAAGCCGAGTTGTGTGGATGTCTAATAATGCAACACGAGTGAAAGAGGCGCGAGGTGTTGAGATCCAGTGTTCACAACGCCAAACGCGTCCAGAGAGAGCTAGGCCTACAACGTGACTTTTGCCGGGGATTGGGCAGTGAAGATGGTGAGAAAAAAGACTACGGACGCGTCCCTCCGATAGTCTTGTATACCAGGGCGTCGAATCAGCGTCGACTACGCGCTGGGCCTTTGATGTCGTGTGTGAGAGGCAGAGAGCCTGGGGTTGGGGATGACGCCGCCCGCAGCGCAGCGCAAATGCCAGATACCCATCACGTGACCGATGCATCCTCTGGTGACGTTTGAAAGTGCTTCCGTTTCCCTTGCAAGGCCCAGTTCCAGCCCATCAACTCGCACCAGCGTTTTTTCTTCGTCAACCCCAACATCGCGGCACAACTCGACGAGGCGCCCATCATCATCAATTGCGCAAATCATCGCCAACACATAATTCCCATCGCTCTACGAATCTTGCGCTCCATTGACACGCGCAATACAGCATTCGCTACGCGTTCGCCTATCTTTTGCGAGCTGGAATTCTACTTCTGGCTCCCGTGATTTGTGACAAGCGAAAACATTATCACCGCTCTTGCTATGGCCGACCAGATTAACGAGAAGCCTGAGGTTGAGGCAACTGCTCCCGACGCGCAGGAAGTTCCTACCGCAGAGCAACCTGCTGAGCCATCATCGATCGGAAACGAAGCCGCAAAGGCCGACGGCGAGGCAAACAAGGAAGATACAAAGATCGCTGAGGGTAAGTTATGATTACGAAGCGTTTGCCATTTGTTGCGCAGTCGATCGCATTGCACTAGAAATCGCGTTTGGATTTCTCGCGTGCTCTGTCGCTCCGGCGCGTCCTTCCCTTTGTCAGATCCATGCTGACCACATCGCGCAACAGAAGCCAAAGAAGGTGGAAACTCAGAGAAACCCGCCGAAGATAAAGACGCGGCCGAAGCACCAAAGGGGGACTCAAAGCCCACTGGAGAGGGTGCAGATACCGAAATGAAGGACGCGACTGGGGCCCCGGCTGCCGGGGAGACCAAGGCCGAGAACTCCGCTCCATCTGCCGATGGTGAGACAGCAACCGAAAACGCCGCCACCGAGTCTGCCTCAGCAAAGGCGAAGAATAATAGACGAAAGTCGACTGGCGGTGCCAGCCGCAAGAGCCTGAGCAAGAAAGCCTCCAAGGCGCGTCTCACCCATCTGGACGCCAAGCCTGGAGATCACTTCTTGGTCAAGCTCAAAGGATTTCCCGCTTGGCCTGCCATCATTTGCGATGAATCAATGCTGCCTCAAGCTCTGGTTGATAGCCGCCCTGTAGCTGCGGCGCGACCTGATGGCTCCTATACCGAGGCATATGCTGATGGTGGCAAACGTGTCAACGACAGGACCTTCCCTGTCATGTATCTCCACACAAACGAATTGTAAGCTATACCTATCACTGATTCCGATCATCGCTAACCTGACTACCAGTGGCTGGGTACCCAATACTGGACTTACAGAGCTTACTCCTGAAAAAGCTAGAGATACCATCACTGAGAAAATGCGCAAGGATCTGAAGGAGGCATTCTCGCTCGCTGCCGAACACAACTCTATCGAACACTACAAGGACGTGCTTAAGCAATTCCAGGATGAATTACTTGCCAAGCAGCAAGCTGCTGCGACACCCAAGAAGAGCAAGAAGGGGAAGGCCAAGTCTGCCGACGAAGACGTTGAGATGGAAGACGCCGACGATGCTTCGGAGAAGTCCAAGTCTAAGAAGCGCAAGGCTGAGGATGACGCCAGTGTAATTCTTCCAACCGCTGTTGCTGATTCGATGTGCTAACAAAACTGCTAGACACCACAACGGCCTGAATCCGTTAAGAAGCCTAAGATTAAGCTCAATACATCAACACCTAAGGCCGCTAACGGTACTCCTAAGGCTAAGGAGGAATCTGCTGCCAAAGCCAAAGTCAAGGTCAAGAAGTCTTCGGACAAGAAGGCCGAGAGCACCAAGAAGGCCAAGATGACACCTGAGGAGCGGAGACACCACAAGGAGGTGAGATAAACACCACTATATTTTGACCGAACAATCTACTGACACCTTTACAGAAGGAAGTATTATATCTCCGTCACAAGCTTCAACGAGGTCTCCTCACCAGAGATCAGCAACCCCAGGAATCAGAGATGGAACATATGTCCGAATACGTTACCATGTTGGAGAATCTGAAGGACCTTGAGGTGTCCATCATCCGTGTGACCAAGATCAACAAGGTTCTCAAAGCTATTCTCAAGCTGGAATCGATCCCTCGTGAGGACGAATTCCATTTCAAGGACCGTTCCAAGGTTCTTCTGGATCAATGGACTCAGCTACTGGCTACCGAAAATGCCACCCCCGCCCCTGATGCTACCAACGGTGTCAATGGCAAGTCGGAAGTCAAGACAGACGACAAGAAGGACGATAGCGGCAAGGAGACTACCGAAGAACCAAAGCCTGAGGCCCCAAAGACGGAGGAATCCAAGACTGAGAAGCCCGAGGAGACCGAGGAGAAGATTGCAGAAACACCACAAGCATCAGCCCCTGAAGAGAAGAAGGACGACGTAAGTCGTAAATAACCCCAATTGTTAGGAGTCTGGCTAATCGAGAAACAAGACTGTCGCTCCTCCTGAGCCTGTTGAAGCTGCAGCCTAAGGTACGGGTCAGCTCACGGTGGTTTAGAGCAATTTGTTTCATGGCGTCAAGGTTATGGTCCACAATTTCTGGTCTTTTTCCGATTTTTTACTTTTTTCTTATGCTTTTCTTATCGTCTATGGTAAAAGTGACTTCGTCGCGTTGCGTCTTTTCGGTATCTGTATGAATATCTGCCAAATCTGGCGGCAGAGGTGTGCCACGACTCGCTAGAGTCATATGAGCTCAGCAGTGACGGAGGCAAGAAATATCTTTTTGGGGGACTGTACAAAGGGCAAAATCAACAATGCTGGGTTAGGAGGCTCGCTTTACGTGGGTTTCTGTGAACCAGTTTGGGCAGGAGGAGAGCGTGGTATGGATGTAAAGACGGCATATGGGATGGATGGCAAGCGAAGCGAAGCGAGGCGAAGCAAGCTCAAAGAATGAGATGATGACCTTCGAGAGGAGGCGTATGAGAATGAGGATTTGGCGAGCAATAGCATACAGACAATGAATGGGACAAAGAATTAGAAGCATTCAGTATAAAGTGCCTTATTTGTGATGAATAGCATATGAAGCCATACAAATCGTATATGTCATTGTCTATCTCTACCGTTGTGATCTCTAAGTGAATGTATGATCTTGGCGGTTGTTGGGATACAGTGCACAGTACAGTGCTAACATACTTGCTTACTGTCTAAAACGCGTTGACCTTCACCCTCGATCCAAGCTCAGGAGCTTCTTCATCTTCAGGACTACAATAACTCGTGCAGCATAAAACCGTTGATCATGGCCCGTGAAATAGTCAACCGAGATACATATAGCCAAGAGGATCATCAGGTAACTAAAACTCTAATCATGAAACTTGTGCAGCCTTTCACTAACTCGGTCAGCAGGTCGCATATATCTTTGACCCTGAAGACGATGGGACACGCCAAAAGCCAGCTAAGCGGAGAAGAAGGTCAAAACAGGCCCAAGATGCTACAGAAACAGTCAAAGGTTCATCGGCTTTTGTGCCTCTGCTCAATGGTGCTGAGAAACCCGAATTTGTCAAGTTAAGGGAGAGATTGTTCCAGGAGAGCTGGGCTAAGATTGATGAACGTATCGAGGTGAGTGAATGAGGCTTTTTCACCGGATATGTCACTCACATGAATTAGGGAATACTCAAAACTTCAAATATTGAGACTCTCAATGAAGTCAGCGAGTTTGCCAAAGACGCGGTGACAGATTCGTAAGAGTTATATCCCTGATATATATGCAACCCCTAATTTTTGGATAGTGGGGATAGAATCCCTTCAGCATTCATCATCACAGGACCTAACATCGCATCGCAAGATCTCCTCTTTCAACAACTATCAGAGACACTTCAGCAAACAACATCGAGCAAGTTTGTTGGTTTGCGGTCATCAGAGGCATCGACGCTGAAAGCTACGTTGAAGAAGATTATTCGAGATGTCACAGCCAAGGTTTCCACTGATGAGGATGATGATCTTCAAGTCGGTGATGGTCGAGAGGTGAGCTATCTGACTCTTTAACAGAACAACACTCATTTTCTACAGGGACGCAGGTATCTCGACTATGATCTTGAAGCACTGTATGCATTCATCAAACCCCAAAATGTTGAGCATGTGTTTGTCGCTTTTCAAGACAGTGAAGGCTTCGACAGTAGTTTATTGTCGGATTTGATCATTCTCTTTAAGTACGTGTCTGCCTCAGACACTTTACTCACTGCTAACATAGCCAAGCTCTTGGCGCCCTCGTATTCCATTCACTCTGCTCTTTGGTATCGCCACATCAGTCGAGCTACTCCAAGCCAGACTACTCAAGGCTTCTTGTCAGCAAATTTACGGAGCGCAGTTTGATGTGATTCAGACCTCAGCCATTCTCGAGACAGTCTTCAAAGCGGCGGTAGCAACATCTGATGCTCCTGTGGTACTGGGAACATCGCTCATCCGCAGCATGCTTGACCGTCAGCATGACCAGGTTTCAGGCATTCAGACATTTACTATGTCATTGAAGGTGCGCTGCGAACAGATAAATGAGCTCGGTGGCAGCTAACACGTAATAGTACGCTTATATGTGTCATTTCTATGCGAACCCGCTCAGCGTTCTCGAGCATACCGCATCATTGCAAGCTGAGCATATTGAAGTTATTCGGCATACTGATTCTTTCAGGGAGATTGTTGAGCAGGCAGTAGAATCTGGCATCTTGGACAATGTGCAATACGCCAAAGATTTGCTTGAGAACGACGAGTTTCTCGTTACGCAAGTTCAAGATAGTCTAGCCCGCCGTCAAGAGTCTGTTGAGGGTTTCTTGCGGTCACTTCTTATTCTTGGAGAAACAGAAGCGCAAGATATTGAGTTCTCAAGAACATATGCCGAAGCTTTGGATGAGGGCGTTTCAATCACTGAAAACTCGAGAGCTACTGAGTCAGTACGGCGTATGGACGTCACCGAGCTGCTAGTCATGCTTCGTAAGGTTATATCAATCTTACAGAAAGGAGATCATGGTTTACTTCTCGGTCCAGCAACGAAGCAAACGGACGTTGAATTTCGAGATGCACTAAGAAGACAACTTGTCAATCTGGAAGAGCTACAATCAAAGGCAGAAGAGCAGGGGGTTACACTACGGAGCAAGTACAGCGGACAGAGCAAAGTGATGCGTACAACTGTTATTGCACAAAGAGTTCAATTGAGTCAAGACTCGGCTGCACTTACAGATGAAGACAAGCAACTTACTCAAGCTGTTGACGATATCACCGGGCTATTAATCACGCATGTTCAGTTTGTCAGACCCAGGTCTCTTTTGTTGTCGGAGAGCTGGTTATACGATTCTCGAGCTCCGTCGCGCGACGTATTCGTGCCTCGACCACGGGCAGTTCTAGAACGCAGCCTCACCAGGCCGCACGACTATTTGTCATGTTCATGCTGCAAGCCAGGCGATGGAGAAACGCCGGCAACTCTGCCGGCCACGGCACTCTTGTACCGTCTATATACAGAGACTGGGAGCCTCATCAACGTGGCAGATCTGTGGGCTGCATTCTCAGCACTTGTAAGCGGAGAAGAGACAGACGAACGCAAGTCGCTGGTAATGTTTTACCGTGCGCTGGCTGAGCTGAGGGCTTTGGGATTCGTCAAAGCAAGCAAGAAGAAAGCGGACCATGTTGCCAAGCTGAAGTGGCTCTAGGTATGGGGATTGCGTTTGCATTGGTCGACAAAGTTTGAGAAAGAGAGACATGGCGAGAAGATTGAAGACTGCAACCGCCAAATGAGGATGGTCCTTTGTATTTGATGGGATGAGACGGGATTAACCATGTCTGGAAACAGGTCTTTTTTTTTTTTTTTTTTGGTTTGAGATTGGAACCGAGGTCGAGCCAATGGCCACTGAAGGACCTAGTGAGGCCGCAAAAAGAAGAGGAGAGAAAAGTGTCGTCAGTCCAAGACATTCAAGAACTAAGACACCGGAGTGGAAGTGGAGGGTGAAAGTCAAGTCACGGTTACAGCCAACGCACCAAAATCCAAGACATGCAGGAAGAGACAGGCATGATTAGACGCCGGGAGCGGAGGGAACTGCATAGAACAAAGCATCATGTGAATGAACGATAACGGTGAACAGCTATAGAGCTACTATATTTGAGGTCTCAGTTGGCCAAGCTACCTACGTACTCAGGTTACTATTCAAGGGATTACCCTAATAATCAATCAATGGAACAATGAATTAAAATAGAGAGAAAGAGAAAGAGAAAGAAAAAGAGTAGCGGTAAAGATATAACTATCCCCTATCTCATTGTCTTGCCATGTTTTACCTTGTCTCGTCTTTTGAGTCATGACCAACTAATGGCTCCAAGTCACATTCCACTCCATCCGCTGTGGGCGTCTCTTGTTCCCATAGACGTAGCGCTTCTGACCAACCCAATTGCGTCTAACGCAGTCGAGTTATTGTTTGTTAGAGACTTTCTTCTATGTCTCACAGGCCACGCCAAACCCAGAATTAAACCCTGGAGCTCAAAGCGGTTCAAGTCCTAAGCTTGTCGATTTCAGGCAGTCAAAGAAGACTTTGCCTAGAACAGCATCTCGTCTGGGTCCTTGCCTTGGGGTGTGTGGGTTTATTAGCTGCTAAGTCGAGCTGAGCTGTTCGCTGCGTACCCATGAGGCCTGTTCCAAAAGAAACAAGGCCAATCGAACGGCTTCGGTCACAAAGACCCTTCAACTGGCTGTTCGCGATCTTAGTCTTGCTTAGTTCCCAGACCCAAAGGGCGGGGAGAGATCTTGCTTTGGTATTAAGAAAGAGAGGTCATGATCTTGTTTCAACTAAGAATTCGTAGCCTTCTTGTCTATTATATATCCCTCCCACCCTCTGCTTTTCTCTCCGTCTCTGTTCTTCTGATTAACAAGAGTCAGACCTCCCGCAGATCAAGGAATTGACTACGAAACTCAAAGAAGAGTCTGTGTTGTCATCCATCCATCCATTCATTCATTCATTCATTCATTCATTCATTCATTCATTCATTCATTCATTCATTCACTTACTCGCCGGACTCTACGGAGAAGACCGCTTGTTCGCTTCGCTTGTCGATAGCCACCCCCGCCAAAGCCAATTCACTCTCACATCACGTATGATCTTTTGATCGCTGATCATTTGCCAAGAATCATTCTTATTCAGAAGTAAATCTTGCAGAGAATAAGAGATTTGGGTTGTTTTAGCCTTTTGACTACTATAAAAACTTGATACACCATTGCCCCAGGTACTCAATCTCTCTCTTCTTACACGCCAACCACCCACTATCGTCACCACTTACAACAACCGCCAGAATGATGCGAGGAGAGATTCCTTCGCGGCATCACAAGGCCTTTGGTCAACGAAGACTCGCAAAGAACCCAAACCTTCAACGAAAGTTGGAACAAATGGCTCTTCCACTTGCACCTCTTGTTCAGCTCACCACAGGCGCTGTTCATCCTTCTTTTCCCACTACAGTCCTCAACTTTTGGCTCCTCACCGATGAGCAGCTAGAGTCTCTTGCACAGTTCTACCACCAGAGGACACCATCGCCTTGGACAAATCAGTACCCCTGCCCAGTTACCTGGAGATCTGATCTGCCTCTTGAGGAGAAGCGACGCAAGATGGGCAAATTCATCGGTCTTCGAGGCTGTGAATCTCCCATCCTTCTTAAGACGGAGGAGGAGATCCTAGCAGAGGCACGAAAGGCGAGACTCGCAGCTGAAGAGGATCTTTGGAGGCGAAAGCACTTTTCCTGATGCATCAACAATCTGAGGCATGCGACGTTACTGTGATTAACAATGGAGGATAGTCTGCTTTCATGTTGGGGTTTTGGATTCACAGGAGTTTTGCATATCCTCTCTGCGTATTTCCTGCTTGTTCTCTGCATTTTTGTTACTGCATCTTGGGTCGGTCGCATTGCTAGACATGGCCACTAGCCAGCGTGCATCACTGCATTTTCAAAGGAGTAAGGAGAGGTGAAAGAGCCTATACATATATCAATAGAGAAGAAGCCCATGCTACTATTTTCAAAATCAACCTCAACGCCGATGGTGTGAATTTCCTTCCCTTCTTCCCATACACACCAAGAGTGTGCGCCTCGCAACAAAGTGACATGTGGTATTCTACAACCAAAATTTGAAGAGGTAGGTAGGTCCGGAACCATGAATATACCTATAAAGACACCCCCATCCTCCCAACCCACCAAGATATCTTCAACTATTTATTTCTTGCCCTTCTTCTTTGAAGGCGTGTCGACCATGACGGCATCCTCCTCGCTGGCAGTCTTGGCAGAAGAGCTCTGCTCAGAGCCGTCAAGCTCCTTCATGAACTCTGACTGGATCTGTCCTCGGCGCTTCTCCCACCATTGCTTCTCTGACTCGGCTTGGGCGAGAATCTCTTCGATTGAGCTGCGCATGGCAGCATTGGCGGTCATTTCGTGGGCGGATTGGAAGATGGACTGGCCCCAGTTTGGTGCGAGAGCGTTAGCCTATAATTGTCAATGATGTGTTCGTTTCTCGCAATCGCATTACGCCGGACATCATACCTCTGTGACGACATCTCTCAACTCCTCCTCCATCTCCTTCTCAGCGCGCTGGAATCGCTGCCACAAATCATCACCCACACTACCTCGTTGCAGCAGAGAACCACATGCTTGCTTCGCAGACTTGATCTGGATCAGACGGCGGATATCCTCGACGGCGCGACGCAAAAGGGCAGCTCGGAGAACGCTTTCGGGGATCTTGGGACCCTTTTCGGAGCCATCCTCGAGGTGTAGCAGGGACAGATAGACGTTGCGCTGGAGGTGAGGACCGAACCACGGAGCCAAGTTGGCGCTCTCAGCTTTTGATATGTTAGCATATGCTTCGGTTTGGCGATCTGGTTCTGTGGCATACCAGCTTTTCTTTTTCGGTAGATTGTCGAGAACGTCATGAGTGCGCTGCCGAGGACGAGAACATAGGCAAAGGGGAGGGCAAGGCCCTTCCAATCAATGTTGAGCATGATGAAGATAGAAAGTTGCAAAAGTAAAATGCGAGATCGTCCGTACTGTAATTAAAAAAATGAGTGTAAAGAAAGAAGTCGAGCCGGCCGTGACTTTGGTTTTGGTTTGTATGAGTCGAGTCTACGGGTGCAGACGCCTTAAGACACGAATTCAATACTGTCAATTAGTGGTGGTGTGGCGCAGATTCATCTTTAGGCCAGATAACGTTTCTGCTTTACCATGTGGCTCTTCCAAATCGTGGCTGGTGTATCCTGCTGGGCAGGCGGGATGGGCCCTGAATTTGACTGCCGTGCGACGTCACTCCAACATTAGATAAGCAATCGCAGGCACCGCTAGATGACGCTGTGCTTGAGTTAGCGGAGGTACATGGTTTCGCGTGAGCAACCTTAGGTAAGATACGTACCAGGCCTAGAGCTACTACCTACCTTACCTACCACCGCTCAACTTCAATTCTTCATGCTGTTGATTCATTGCGTTTCAGCTGCACCTTCTAGGCTCTTCTCTTTCGTTCCCACTTATCTCTCAGCAATTCCCTTTTTGTAGATTCTTTCTTTCCCTATAAATCGAGAATATTCAAAATCCCAAAGGCATCAGAGAGAGCACGACAAACCCCAGCAAAGACCATCATAGCGACAGCTTTTTAGATACTTTTCACCATGTTGCTGCGACTCCGCGGCCCCGATGGCATGGCCCGTCTGAATGTCGAGCCTACAACTACCTTTGGGGATCTGGGAAAGCTGGTTTGTTTCCTCGGAGCCCATACCGAGCTGGCTGTGCTGACTCTGGCCTTCTAGCTGCTTGATCAACTTCCCAAGACCGTCGATCCCAAGACTATAGCTCTATCTAACGCACCGAACGGAGGCGACTCAAAGCGTCTAGGGGACATCATCAACTTCAAAGTTGGTCAGATTGGCCTCAAGTTAGTCAGGCTCATGACCTCTCACAGGTCAACCAAGCTAACCTCATAGGCACGGCGATCTCATCTTTCTCACCTACCAGCATGCCGACGCTGCCAACGGTGACGCACCCGAAACCTCTAACACATCTGCCAGACTCAACGGAAAACCTGTACTACCGACCGAAGACCTTCCCATCAACCCCAAACCCGAGAGGATCGCCAGGCCGTGGGAAGTAATCCGCCAATCCGCTTTGGACGACCGATTAGACCGACAGGATGGCAAGATCCCCCGCGGCATCGATCGCATGTGTCGCCATGGTCCCAAGGGCATGTGTGACTACTGCCAGCCCCTCGATCCTTTCAACCCCGGATATCTCGCAGAGAAGAAGATCAAATACCTGTCCTTCCACTCATACCTACGAAAGATCAATGCTGCGACCAATAAGCCCGAGCTAGGCGCTTCATACATTCCTCCCCTGGTTGAGCCTTACTATCGAGTCAGGCATGAGTGCCCTTCCGGTCATCCCCCCTGGCCTGAGGGTATCTGTACCAAGTGCCAGCCCAGTGCCATTACTCTCCAGCCTCAACAGTTCCGAATGGTCGATCATGTCGAATTCTCTTCGCCTGCTATTATCGACACCTTTATCGATACCTGGCGAAAGACTGGATCGCAACGCCTGGGCTATCTTTATGGGAAATATACTGAGTACACTGAAGTCCCGCTTGGTGTGAAGGCTGTCGTGGAAGCCATCTATGAGCCTCCTCAGGTTGATGAGCTTGATGGTATCACAATGAACGCCTGGGAGTCGCAAAAGGAGGTCGACAGGGTCGCCAAGCAGTGCGGCCTAGAGCCTGTGGGAGTAATCTGGACTGATCTACTTGATGCTGGCAACGGCGATGGCACAGTGGTTTGCAAACGTCATGCCGACTCCTACTTCTTGTCCTCTCTGGAGATTTGCTTCTCTTCGAGATTGCAAGCTCAGTATCCTAAACCTTCCAAGTGGAGTGACACAGGCAGCTTTGGTTCAAATTTTGTCACATGTATCATCACCGGTAACGAGGAGGGCGAGATTTCGATTTCCTCCTACCAGATGTCTAACGAGTCTGTGGAGATGGTTCGTGCTGACATTGTCGAGCCGTCAGCTGACCCTAATGTCATGCTTGTACGCGATGAGGAGGAAGATGACGGCTCCGTCAGTCGTACAAGATATATCCCTGAAGTTTTCTACCGCAGAGTCAACGAATACGGCGCCAACGTCCAAGAGAACGCCAAGCCATCGTTCCCCGTCGAGTATCTGTTTGTCACACTGACCCACGGTTTCCCCGCGGACCCTAAGCCTATGTTCACTCAGCAAGGTTTCCCTATCGAGAACAGAGAATACGTCGGAGAGAGCCAAGAGCATTCCGCTCTGTCCAAGTTTCTCAAGATATCACCTGGTCAGAAGCCCACTGGTCAGGAGGTCTCCAACTTTCACCTTCTCTGCTTCATTCAGCAGATGGGCGTCCTCTCCAAGGTGCGCTTGTTTTTGACATGCATAAGAAAGCTACTGACAGGCTTTGTAGGACGAAGAAGCCCTGCTCTGCCGTGTAGCGAGCCAACACGATCTTGCCGATACATTCCAGCTTCGTTCTACCGAGGGTTGGCAGACCCTCCAGGCCATCCTTCAATCGACTGGTGAGAGAATCCCCAAGCGTCAGCGGGAGGATGACGGTGCTCCCTCGCCCTCGTCCTCCTCGTCCTCTTCTTTTCAAAATTCCATTCGCGACTCGGGAGAACCCCTTGCTAAGCGATTTGCTGCCTTCAGGCTAAACGAGCGCTGGACCAAGTCCGCCAATCCACCGCCACCCTAGTCAATAAAGAGGTATTGGGTAGAGGGGAAGACAATAGGGGTCAGATAGATGTTTAGAGAGAGATGGAACCCAAAAAGTGGTGAGGCTGGATTCGGATTTCTTGCTAGATATTTTCTTAACTTCCTTCACGTGGAAGATGATATTGCATGTGTAGCTGAGGCGGCGTTAAGGACAGGTATCGGAGCATATAGGCAATGCATTCATTGGGTGGCTTCCTCAGCTTGAATCAAAAGACTTGGGCATGTTTGCATGTGCTTTGACGTGGCATTATTGAGTGATGTCCATTACGTACTTAAGGAGTATTGCGAGTAAGATTTTGATCATAGTCAGGCTTAGAAACCTTCATCGTATGAGCTATCTTAAATAGGTCGTTCCCAATCATCATGTCGAGCGAGATTGATTCAAATCATGATGATTATGGTACTTAATACATTTCAGCTAAGTTGGTTATCTTGGTTAAGACTTGTTGAGTTCATAGTGGTTGTACTGTTGTATCTGTTAACTTCACTTCGTTTTGTCATCTCAGAAGCATTTCAGTTATAATTGAGGTACAGCATAATTCATTAAAACTTTTTATTATTGACATGGGGTTTGTTAATTTTGTAGGACTTTATGTAAACTTATGATGACTTTCTATAAGGTATCTATAAACTTTACCTATATCATGAAATTAGAAGCGACATATATAATGTATGACGACTTTATTTTTATTATCACAATTTAAGTAAAGAATATCATAAACTTATCATATTTGTAGAATTTTCTACTAATATTATCATAAAAGTTATCACACACATTCGAATAACTCCCAAATCCACCCCTTTTCCAATCACAAAAACGCCAGTTATAATTTACAGGGGCTTTCCACCGATGAAGTCGGACCATCGGCGGACTTCAGCGGGGATGCCTTCGGGGCGGGGCAGCTTCTCGCTCATGCACTGAGCAAAGAGGATAGCGGTTTGAGGCTCCATGAACAGGGGGACGCCGAAGTCGACGGCATTTCGGCGCATAACATAGTCGACGTCCATCGTGGTCTTGCCTCGGGCCTGGGCCAGGTTGAAGCATCCGCGGATATCGTACTTCTTGAAAACCTCACGGAGGGCACGCTTGTCCTCCTTGGGGAATTCAATAACCTCAACCTCGACCTTGGTCTTGGACTTGTTCTCGATGAACTCCTTGACCTCGGGGCTAGCAGCGTACAGTTTGTAGCCGAGAGGGGCGACGTAGTCGACGACCTGGGTGAGCCAGGGCTTGGAGACGTTTCCACCGAAAAGGAGACCCTCACCAGGCTCGGGCATGCGGAAGTTCATGGTGGACTGGAGAGAGGTCCAGTAGGCCTCAACGAGATCCTTACCGAAGCAAGCAATCTCACCAGTGGAAGCCATCTCAACACCGAGGAAAGGATCGGCACCGGCGAGACGGGTCCAGGAGAACTGAGGAACCTTGGTAGCAACATAGTCGCGCTTCTCAGCCATAGGGTCAGACTTGGCAGGAACCTGCTTGCCGACGAGGGCCTTGGTAGCAATATCGATGAAGTTGGTTCCGAGGACCTTGCTGACGAAGGGGAAAGATCGAGAGGCACGAAGGTTGCACTCAATGACCTTGAGGAGGGGCTCGCCACCCTCAGGGTTCTCGGCCTTGATGATTTGCATGTTGAAGGGACCGCTGATCTTCCAAGCCGCGGCGACCTTGACAGCAATCTCCTTAACACGCTCCATGGTGTTGCTATCGAGGTTGGCGGGGGGGAGAACCAGAGTGGCGTCACCGGAGTGAACACCGGCCTGCTCAACGTGCTCGGAAACAGCATGAATGATGAGCTCGCCGTTGGCAGAGACACCGTCAACATCGATCTCTTGGGCACCCTCAATGAACTTGGTGATGACAACGGGGTGGTCAGGGGAGACGTTGCTGGCAGCCTCGAGCTTATCCTTGAGATCCTCCTGGCTTGAGATCACAGTCATGGCAGCGCCAGACAGGACGTAACTCGGGCGGACGAGTACGGGGTAGCCAACCTCCTCGGCGAACTCCTCAGCAGCCTTGACCGAAGTAAGCTCCTTCCAGGCGGGCTGATCGACGCCAATGCTGTCAAGGATCTCAGAGAACTTCTGACGATCCTCGGCCTTGTCAATGTCCTTAGGATCGGTTCCAAGGACATTGGCTCCACCAGTCTCCTGAAGCTTAAGAGCAATGTTCTGGGGCAGCTGGCCACCGACGGACACAACGACACCCTTGGAATTCTCAAGCTCATAGATATCCATAACACGCTCGTAGCTCAGCTCTTCGAAATACAGCTTATCAGCCGAATCGAAGTCTGTGCTCATTGTCTCTGGGTTATACTAACGTAAAATATTAGTTTAGCATTTTAAAATGATTATAGAAGTTGTGAAGAGATTAGGATGAGGTTTGAAATGGTCCGGCTCAAAGTGGGGCCGTCTTCCGGTAACGTGGGGCCGAAATCACGGCGACACCGCACAAGGAACGCCCAATTGGGACGGAAGGGAAAATATAAACTTACGTTGATCATGATGGTCTTCTCACCCATCTGCTGGAGGGCCTGAGTGGCGCTGACAGCACACCAATCGAACTCGACGGAGCTACCAATTCGGTAAACACCGCTACCAAGGACAATAGTACCGTTGTCCTCAAAAGTGACATCGTGAGTAGAGCCGTTGTAGGTGGTGTAGAGGTAGTTGGTGTTGGCGGGGAACTCAGCGGCCAGGGTGTCGATCTTCTTGACCCAGGGTCGGATGCCGAAGCTGAGACGGTAGGCTCGGACCTCGTCCTCGGTGCTCTTGACGGCCATGGCGATCTGTCGGTCAGAGAAACCCATCTTCTTGGCCTTGAGGACCTGATCTTTCTTCAGGTTCTGGAGACCACCAGCCTGCTCAAGCTCACGGGTGCAGTTGACGATGTTCTGCAGCTTGTGAAGGAACCACTTGTCAATCTTGGTCAGCTCGTGGACCTTGTCAACAGAGTAGTTCTCGTGAAGCATGGCCTGGCCAACAGCGAGCCATCGGCGGTCGGTAGGGTTCTGGAGCTCAAAGTCGAGGTCCTCGAACTTGTCACCCTGGAAGCCAACAAATCGGGGATCGACCTGACGAATGGCCTTCTGGAAAGACTCCTCAAAGGTTCGGCCGATAGCCATGACCTCACCAACAGACTTCATAGCACTGCCAATGTCGCGCTTGACGTGCTGGAATTTGGAGAGATCCCATCGGGGAATCTTGGTAACGATGTAGTCAAGGGAGGGTTCGAAGTTGGCAGTGGTGGTCTTGGTGACCGCGTTGGGGAGCTCGGGAAGGGTGTGTCCAAGACCGATCTTGGCAGCGGTGTACGCAAGAGGGTATCCGGTAGCCTTGGAGGCCAGGGCAGAGGATCGAGAAAGACGGGCGTTGACCTCGATGACACGGTAGTCGAGACCATCAGGCTGGAGAGCGTACTGGACGTTGCACTCACCAACAACACCAAGATGTCGGACGATCTTGATGGCAGCGCTTCGAAGCATGTGATACTCCTCGTCGCTCAGGGTCTGACTGGGCGCAACGACAATGGAGTCACCAGTGTGGATGCCAAGAGGATCAAAGTTCTCCATGTTGCACACGGTGATACAGTTGTTGTTGGCGTCACGAACGACCTCGTATTCGACTTCCTTCCAGCCCTTGAGCGACTTCTCGACAAGGATCTGAGGAGAGAGGGTAAGAGATCGAGCGGCCATGTTGCGGAGCTCCTCCTCGTTGTTGGCGAAACCGGAACCCAGACCACCGAGAGCATAGGCGGCACGGACAATGATGGGGTATCCGACGGTCTCGGCGGCCTCGAGAGCCTCCTCGACAGTGCCGACAGCAATCGACTTGGCAATGGGGATGTTAATCTCATCCAGAGCCCTAGCGAAGAGGTCACGATCCTCACTCAGTTCCAGAGTTCGGACACTGGTACCGAGGACCTTGACGCCATACTTTTCAAAGAGGCCAAGTCGCTGCATCTCAACACCGAGGTTGAGAGCAGTCTGACCACCGAAAGACAGGAAGATGCCATCGGGCTTCTCCTTCTCGATGACATAGGAGACATACTCGGGGGTAACGGGGAGGTAGTAGACCTCGTCAGCCAGACTGTGGTTGGTCTGGATGGTAGCGATGTTGGGGTTGATGAGGACAGAAGCAACACCGGCTTCCTTGAGGGCCTTGAGAGCCTGAGCGCCTACATTTCGAGTTTGTTAATTTTTTATTGTTCAAAAATGAGATTGTGCAATGAATCGCAAGGTGTCGGTGAGATATGCGTCACTGTGAATTGGGTATGCTAACCTGAGTAGTCGAACTCTCCAGCCTGTCCAATGGCAAGACCACCACTTCCAATGACAAGGACCTTCTTGACATCAACAGTCTGGTGAGGCTTGATGACTCCACTGTCGAGGTAGGCCTTGGGGTTGGGTGCATCCTGAACAGCGGCGGAGCTGTAGGCGCGCATAACCTTGAGGGTGCCCAGGCGCTTCGAGTTGGCGGGGCGGGCAGAGGCGATTGAGACTCGGCATGATGCTGATGCTGAGAGAGGGCTCACGGAGGAGAATGAGCGAGAGGGCAAAGCTCGCGGGACCCTGCGTCCATGACGGAGCAGGGCCGGAGCTCGACCAGCGAGAGTGGTTGCCAGGTTGAAGTTGAGAGGCATTGCAGCGGATAATTTGCACGTATCAATGCGTAAGTTGAACCGTCCCGCTGGCGAGGTTGCCCTTCTGTATCCCGAATCAGGCGTCTAGGATGTCGATGTATGTGAAGGACACAAGAGACTGTGACTCTGTTGGAAATGGTTTCTGGAGGAGGGGGGAGGGGGATAAGTAGGGCGGCCCGTCGTAAAGAAAAATGGCGGTACCGCTGATAAGATAAGAAGAACCTCCGAAAATTATTCTCTGGTTTGGTGTGTGACTCTACAAAAAGTTGTGCTGGGCTGGGCTGTGACGCACCTCAGCCAGCCCAGGAACAGCTAACAAAGTAGCTCCATACCATTTCCATAGTGGATAGATACCTCCGATTGCTATCTACAGACTAACGGACTGCCCCAACAGTTCGGCCGTAAATGAGAAATTTTACCAAGATTCGATAGAGATCGTCCCTCACTAGTGTCTTGTTCAAGGGTCTTTCGTGGAGAATCCAAGGCACGAGTACTGTAACACCAAACTTGATGCATTCTGTTGTCCTTTTTGGCTTTTACAATCTTCTCTTCTCCTATCAATTTCTGTGTATCTTGTTGAGGATATCCCAAATTGACTGTACCTGCAGCCAGATACCGAATAACACCTCACAGCTTATCATCCTTGCTGAGCTCCCCGGATCAAGCAAGCTAAGCTTATGGGTCCGGTTACGGCGACCTTTCAAGAACAGCTTGAACCCTGGCCAGCAAGAAACAAACAAGGACACAGCAAAGCAACGGTTGTCAGCAGCAAGGAAAATAATTCTACTGGTGCTCACAGACGTCTAGAAGAGGTGTCAAGTCCTTTTTGACCCATTGAAAAAAAAGTGAAACAGCCAATGCGGTGTAGTATTCCTCCAGGCTAATGATGAAATGCCCCGACATCGCCGTCCATTTTGGTGACATCGGCGGAATCAGCGGAGATACTGGCCGCCTATGCCGCCGCTACTCAGCGCTTTGGCGGTGATAGAGCCGCTGGCGGAGTGTTCTGAGTCATGCGAGGTTCCGAATTACCTTGACTATCGAGTAGTGAGTCCGATGTAGGGCTATGAATTATCAAACGTAAGTCCCGTTGTTCTCCTAAATTTATAGAAGGAATACTATATTGGCCATATCAAGCTGCTGATCAGTTCATACAGTTGGTTGATATTAAGCTTGAGGATGTGAGAGGTACATTTATAGGCTTCACCAGAGCTAGGTCCGGGAGCACGCATCGAACCCACAGGATCCGCTGAGAACGCGATACTCCGATAAACACTGAACAAACCGATCGTCAAAAAGGCATTGAGACTGACAGAAAAATGCCGGTTTCCCGAAGCCGCCACAGACAACATCGTACTTGATCCAACACGACGAAACATGTCATCTCACGAACTTCTATCATACGGAGATATCGTGGGCTTACCCTATATCGTTCGCTAACATGCTATTGGTCGATGAGATCGCTCACTCATTCACACAAACTAAAAACTGACCTCAACAAGACTCAGCATCCACGAGTGAAGATAAACAGCAGAAAATAATTTAAGATTTGAAAATAAGACTGGCGATGGAATCTTTGAGACAACAACTAAAAGTCGTGGCACTCGCATAACTATAAACTTGATGTTATTCGGTGAAGGCAGAGGTACAAAAATGGCACGTAGTAAACTAAATACAAGATTATCACCAAAAGTCACAAAATCTGAGAAAATAAGGACCTTCTGGCTTCCCCAATAAACTTTAGATATACCACAGGTGTCATTGTCTGATTGGGAACCCAACTTGGCTTTTGGCGTTTTCTTCCATCCGACACCATGGCCCCCAGTTGAGATACTGGACCTCTTCTCAGCCACAACTGACAGATCTTTGTGGAACAAGGTATGAAACTCAGCATGGTCTAAACCACCGCTTATGGGAAGTATTTCAGCGCGGGGCTATACCCCGAAAGTTTGAATATCGAGGTAGTTACATTCGGATGGTGTAAGCCAAGAGAATATTCTGTGGTAAATAGGATCAATAAATTATTTATGTATGACTTATCTTATGAGACTATCCACTACTATAGTCATTAAATGAAGTTCTGATTATATATTCGGGGAAACTACACGATATTCGGAGCGAATAAGAACTGTCCTACCAAATAGGACAAGCCGCCCAATTAGACGTTGGGAGCTGGGAGTGGCATAAGTCTCTATTGAACGAGAAAGATGCAATAGCAACTCTTATCGTAAGCGCACCAAAGACATTTGATATATGAGGGGTCTGCCTGGCTATCGCCAATACCAATCCATCTCGACATAACTCCACTTCGAAGAGTGTTCCAGATGTTCCCTGAGTAGCACCGACACAGTCTTGACACGTCAAATAATAAGGACGCAGGCAAACTTAGGTTTGCATCATGAACGTGAACCAGACCAGTATGCCTGATGAGTGGACAAGACGGTTCAGACAAACTTTTGATGCTATAATTTGGTTTCCGTGTCTATGCTTCAGAATCACACAAGCTTTATTGAGGTGCTGTGAGAAGAATGAAGTCAAACTTCTTCTAAGTTTCAGAGTCACATATAAGGAAGACGTTGCTGCTTTGCTTCATCACACCATCTCTTTCTTCTCTGGCTGCAAGGTCTGAACCATACCCAACCCATATAACACCCACACGCTGACCAGAATGGCGATCAATTCCATCAGAATGTTGACCTGGTTCCTGGTAGGAGCTGTCTTGGCTTCACCATTGGGGAAACTTAACAAGACTGAAGGATTAAGCTCAAAGCTCAAAGGCATCGACTTTTCTCGCCTTGAGCCTATTGATCGTTACAAAAAGGACGATCTTAGGTTTCCTCTTAAACCTAGCCTGTTTGCAGCTCCTGTGATCGGACCCAGGCCTTCTGTGACTAGGCCCAACATACGAAAGAAACCAGACACCGAAGAGAACGAACCAAAGTATAACCAGACTCGCCAGTTTGACAACAAGACTGAGCATGACGGCCACATGGTTTTCTCACTCGACAATATGGAAGGTTCTGAGGATGAAAAGGCTTTGATCGAGGCGCTTCTTAAAATCCTTAACGAGCCCCTGGAAGAGATCGCAAAAGAAAATCCCACCGGTCATACTCAAAGTGTTGAAAACCCTTGGGTGATGCCATACCTGTGGCGTGACTCTAACAAATTATACAAGGGAGAAGATAAGGACCAGGACAAGGAATATGAGGAGGATGACAGCGACAGCGACAGCGACAGCGACAGTGGCAGCGACGACGAGGAAGATGGAAGGAAGGACGAAAAGGAGGTATCTAGAATCGTTCAGAAGAGAGACGACAAGAAGGAGGAGAAGCCATATTTATGGCCAGAACACAACAGACCAAAGGCCTCCAAGGATGGCAAGTTCACATACTTGTACTCCAGCGAAGGAAAACAATACGCTGTTGCAAATCCCCAACTACCGATGTAAGTGCAAGTATAACATTATACAGCAACCAGATCTATCCACACATACAATGCTAATATGCGAAGTCTACAGACTAATCACCACGAGAAGGCCCAACAGGAGAGGGAGCAGAAAGTGGACATCCTTCAATATGAGCTTCAGAAGGAAATGGACACGAAACTACAGCAGGAGGAAAGGAGATTGAAGCACGAGGATGAGATGAAGTTCAATGCGTCAAAGCGCGAAAATGGCGAATGAGTTACTGGACTCTAGTTGTTCCGGTCAACTTACTATGGGTTAGGAGTCAGCACGGCGAACATACCCCTATTAGATTGTTGGGAGTTTTTCTGCGTTAGTTTTTTTTTCTAGTTTGCTTTCCATATTCCTAACAGAATACAGGAGAATTCTCATCAAAGCAGCCCGTCTTGTCATTGAAAACTCTTAACACTTTCAGATGCACAGCGATAACCCCAACAAAGAAATCCGCCGGAAACACAAAAGAATATACACACAGGCAAGGCTGCTCGCAGATCAATTCCATTGCTTCTGTAATTACACCTGAACAAAGGAGATGTTCATCTGACACCTCATTACAAGATAAACCAAGGACAAGTATAACATAAACCAATGCCCCCGTCATCACAAGATAACGAGCAAAACAAGTACTTGACATCTATTTCCTACATTAATGTTTAGAAACACCAGTATTGACATGTGCCAGCAGATCTTCAGGTTCAAGTGTCATCACATGAGGTATATGCCAGTTCCTTGTCAAAAGATCAAGGACCGACAAAAGCAATTTCTTCGACCTATTCTGGACTGGCTGTGCCCAGTCAGGCCTTGCAAACAGAAGATAGAAGGGCAACAACGTCCAGACCATCCCTGTGATAGTTGCTCAGCCCGGTCATTTGCACCATCAGATGAACAGATCTGATCGTAGTACCCACAGACATCTCTCAGCAGGTCTGGGAGACCATCTTGAACCAATGTCCAAGATGAATGACCAACAAAGAGTTGCTCTCTGCAAAACAACAAGGAATAGCAAATCAGAAGGACAGCCCCGATACCTTCAACAACTGCCAGGTAACTCCGGGTGGAGACCGACCGGATGCGTCCAAATCATCGACGCCCCTATCCACCAAAACACTGAAGTTCACGGTCGACCAAACCTACAACGTAGTCGTGTAATGGGTTCCCTGCGCAAGGCTTACCAGAAAACAGCACCGGAAAGCTTAGACGAGGCCGGCCCCCCCAACAAGCTTCGACGTGCCTCCGCTTCCTCCTCGGAGCCTGTACAAGGCACAGACGTTGATCGAGATGATGAAGCTATTGTGCCACCTACCCAACAGAGAGATGACCAAACCGACAAGCATCTAGGCCATGTTCGAGAATATCAGGTCCATGTTCACCATCCTGTTGAACGGCCTAAGTCGATAGAGGTACAACTTTGCCATGTTGATGACGAGGATGAGCCCTGAACCAAAGAACATACAGCAAGCCTGCCTTCATCAGCAGACCAGTGCAGACTGAAATGGCCATGATAACGGCGTCATGTCGAAGATCAGATAGCAATAAATGTTTGTTACTGGAAAAATACACTATTAATGATGCCTATTGAGAAATGATGTGAATATATTGACGAATTTACTACATGCTTGATGTTAACTGTTATTTAATTGCAAATGACACAACTCCATACACTCCATATGATGCTGAAACGGTTACCTGGACCGATTCGTCCCCTGACCTTCTCCTTGAATATGCATGCTGATTTCATATGAGTCTCAGGACAACCTAACGGCCGTGTAAGCAAACGAAACTGCCGTCAAGAACATCAAGTGTGCGAATAAACAAAAGGGGTGAGATCACCAATGCCACCTTCGTCTCCGGGGTGGCGAATAGAATACTGTCATACTCCGTGCAATGAGACCCAAGGACGCTAGATTGGGTGCTCGCTACTGATCATCGATCGGCGGTATCTGAAATGCAAGTTGGCACACATCAGAACGTGGTTTGTCTCGATGTTGAAGCTGGTTCTACAACACAATCCCCGGAGCATTGATCGTCTAAAGGACCATCTTATATGCTCAAGGTTAGGGAAGTAGATTAGGTTGAGATAATTGCTCTATTGAGCCTTGCCGTTCTTAGACTTGAACTTCTCAATCTCGACCTGGACTTTCTTGCTGACACGAGCTCGGAGTTCAGGTCGGTATCCGAACTTGAAGAGTATCTCAAGCCACACAAACATAGGGGCAAGGAAGATGGCCTGGATGAGGTTGTCGAGCAAAGCAGGGGCACGCCCTTCATATTTACCATGACCAATAAACTGGAAGATCCAGCAGACAATATGGATAGCCAGAGCACCTTGGAAAGTGGTGTCAGGGTTTTGCTGATGGAGGTAGTTGCCAAGTGCTGCACCACCCATGCAGAAAAGAGCCAGAAGGAAACCTGCAAAGGGCTCTAAGAGCAGATAGAGCAAAGAATAAAGGCTGGCACCAATGATACCAAGGTTGAGATCCAAATAAGGGGGAGTAATCCAAGATGGTGTAGGAATGAGAGTGCCGGTGTATGTGGCCTGCAGAAATGTAAGTTGGAGTACTTGGGAGAAAGCAGATGCAGAGCAACGCAACATGCATAAGCCGGCGAGGAGATAGTGAGACGAACCATACAGAACCCCGAGATGAGAATGAGAGGAACGCAGACCATGTGGATGGCGACATTAACCGAGTTATGGTGGTAAGCACCATACTACCGCATATTAGTATGATTTGACATATGATAAATAGCGTATCGAAATTTGACTTACGAAGGTGAGGTGTTGTTCAAGATCCAGAGACATGATGAGTAGGGCCCCCTCGACAAAGACGATATGATGGTTGTAGCAAACTGAGGTCGGAAGAGTGAGGAGACAAAAAGTCTATCAAGATGCTTTGAATTTGATAATTTGACGAGCGATCAACTCGACTCAACGTGGTCCGTGAGTTGGCCTATGCAGTTTGACGATTTCTGGGGCTGCGGTTGTGGATCTGAGTCCAAGGCGGAGAGATTCAGGGCGACTGAAGAATAGTATAGAGTCCTGAACTATGAAAGTTTGTGGGGGGAAAGATGCTTTCTTGTGGTGCGATGAATGTTGAAGATGATTACAACTTTAGGTAGGTAAGGTAGTTAAAGTTATTGTGTGTTACCTCAAGGTATCACAGTCCGAGACGGGATGGCGGGATGACCCCCTTCCCAGGTTCGTTTGATGCAGGAGGTGCGTCGAATCAAACGCGTTGTAAAGGCTTCAAAAGGCAGGAGCAATAATAAAGAATGAGTATGAAGACAAGCCAAGAAATTGATGATTGCCAAAGGACGACGACAACGCAGGTATGGCACGGCAGGCACAGTACGGTAAAAAGAGAGCGAGTGGCTTCTGCTACAGTGATGAGTTGTTCGTTTTCATGTGCTTTCCATTTTTGCGAGCCTGTGTCCACTGGCTACTGCCACTTCTGATCCTGAACTCCCTAACCTTAGAATGACCCGCTTGAATGCACCGCCGCAGCTGCTCGGGGTGGGTCCCAAGTCCGTACAGTAACTTCCATTTTGGAGCCTCCTTTCTTTCATCCCTTGCCCTATGTCCACTGTGCCTTCCGGGACATCGTGTGCTTGTCTCCTTAACTTGGATGATTACGCCTTCCTTCAAACAGAAGCCAGTCAATGTCGGCAAGGAATATACGAAGTGTCATTGTATTGGTCAGAAACTCATCGCCCTTGTTTATTCCCCAGGTTTTAGAATCTTGGTGCCGATTACACTCTGAAGAGGAAGACAAGGTTTTGAGATGCTTCCATTCGCTTCCCTTGAATCGTACCACATCCCATCCGGGTCTTTTTCTGGAAGAGCCCGGTTGCGAGACGTAGAAGCCGAGGCCGAGACCTCCACTATAGACCTCGTTTATGCCTCTCAGTGATAATCACTCGGTCTGATGGGCCTGATGTGTTGGCGTATTGCGTGTTTGGCAGATATCCTTCCTTTCAAGTATCGAAGCTTTCATCAATTGGAAACTCTTGTAGCAAGTTAAGTTGACACTAGGTGCATTTTTGTGAGCGTATGAATGGGGGGTTAGTGATTTTTTATTGGAAGCAACAACTACTTACTGCTATCTACACACGATCCATCCAACAAACTTTATAATGCCTGCTCACACTCAAATTTCGTATTGAGTACCTACTAGTGAATGCTATTCTCTAGAATCCCATGTCGCTGTGGTCAGGTGTGATAAGGCAGCGATCTCTTAGACGCCACACCTGTGGCTGAGGTGTCCCTGATTTCTGATTGGACAGAACTTTATTGGCACGCATGGGCCAGCTCAGCCTCGTTGATTTCATTGTCCAAACTTCCACCTCACTTGGCAGTCTTTCAACCCAAGGAACAAACAACCTCCCTCTGCGCTCGCGTCAAGAAGGTCAGCAGTCATATTTGACTTGACACGTCAGGGCCTCTCTCTTAATATATTGTTTCCTCTCGTCTCTCTTCAGCGAGCGATACGCAACTCCTCAGCGCGTTCATTTCTAAACCCACGCCGAGCTTTCACTACGTCTCGTTCCTTTTCGCACGCGCTTTCGCCCGGCGCTCCTCCCTTGATCGATCGCAGAACTCTACGAAGCGGTAGTTATTAGCTTAATCTCTCGCTTGACCGAATCCACACCCGTTTTCCGTACTCTAGTCGGCCATCGAACGTATTGCAATATCGCAACTTTACAGTCAACCTAAACCGCCCATTCGCTTACCATCGATATCTTCGCTTCTCCCCGAAATCACTTTTCACCATGTTTTTTCTTTATAATTTGGAGCGCAAGGTCACTTTGCACCCTTCTTTCATGGGTCGCAACATGCACGACCTCGTGACTGCGAAGCTCTTGAAGGATGTTGAAGGCACATGCGCTGGCAGCTACTTCATCATTTCCATCATGGACGCTTTCGAAATCTCTGAAGGACGAATTCTCCCCGGTCTTGGTATGGCTGAATTTACTGTCGGATATCGCGCCGTGGTGTGGCGGCCATTCAAAGGCGAGACGGTAAGGCCTTCACTGCCGAGGATTAATGACCTAGGAGTCTGACTTCAGTCAGGTCGATGCAGTCGTACACTCTATAAACCCACAGGGCTTCTTCGCTCATGCAGGACCTCTGCAACTGTTTGTGTCAGCCCATGTACGTCACCACACAGCTGTGATGTGACATCTTCTAACCATTACTATAGTTGATCCCTAGTGATGTGAAGTATGATCCCAATGCGACACCACCTCAATTCACAAACAACGAGGACACCTCTATTGAGCCACAAACTCACGTTCGCGTCAAAATCATCGGTACTCGAACAGAGGTTGGAGAGATGTGGGCCATTGGTAGCATCAAGGAGGATTACTTGGGGTATGCTGACGCCTGGTCAATGTATTTGCTTTTTTTGCTAACGCTGATTTCAGATGCCTCCAAGCTTCTTAAGTTGACCGCGGTATTGGACGGACTCGGAACCAGGAAAGCCGGATCCCCTTAAAAAGGATATAAACAAATATGTGATTCGACAACAGCAGCCAGCCCTTCAATTACTGGATGTAGCAACAAAAGCAACTCATACAAACATCTATCAATCACCGCAATAAGGAGGGGGAAAATTCCGCTGAATTAACGACAATAGATCCAGCAGCAGACGGGTCGGATGTTGAAGCCGAACAGCGACTGTTCCGGCCCACGTACAATTATTGGTATACAAGGTGTCAAGATCACGTTGATCGCAAAATTGAACATAATGGATACAGTTTGCTATAAAGAAATTGAATTCTTGTTTCTGTCAGACTTAGACAGCGAACAAATAGACAATTACACGCAAGTTTGCAGTTTGCAAATAAGATAATAAAAGCACAGATACCCGATAACGCTCCAAGTTATATGCGCCCTATGAGTGAAGCCATCCGCCCTACAACAATAAGTCTTTTTGACAGCCAATTACAAGCTGTATAGATAGGCATCGGCTTCCTGAAGCAGCTTGATCCCCCCCACGAGACCCCGCAATCGAGAACTCCCCGCTTAGGAGCTGGGGACTGGGGACTGGGGACGGGGGCCTCCGGGGAAATGGCTGATATTTGTCGTATAAATTGGGCTTTCGGAGGATACTTCCCCGAGCATATTGACTTTCTGCACTATCTATTACCATTATACGAAGTAAAAACGAGACAATATGAGTAGAGTATGGACTTCAGCAACCCTCCGGTTACGACCGGCCTTCACACCCAACACGCTACAACCACGGGTTGTAACCAGAAACATGTCTGGATTTTCTGCCATGCAGACATCTAACAGATTACGGACAGCTCTTCTGGAGGGCAAGAAGGCATTTGGTGCTTGGCAGATGCTTCCTGGTGCAAATGTATCGCGAGTATTAGCAAGGTCAGGAGTTGATTGGGTCTTGGTGGACTGCGAGCATGGAAACTTGGATGGTAAGAGTTTAACGAGTTTAACCTGTACTGTGATGGCTGGATGTAGGTCTAACATAACGAGATGGTGCCATGCACGATGCCGTCCCTGCAATTGCGGCTCTAGGAGTCTCGCCAATTGTGAGATTGCCTGATATGCAAGGATGGATGGTAAAGCGTAAGATTGCAGAAATATCTATACTTGGGAGCTCGTTATTGACGTTTCTCAGGTGCACTTGACAGTGGAGCTCACGGTGTAAGTTGCCATCCCTCTGAAATCCGTGTCATGTTGCTGACTAGACAAGATCGTTGTCCCTTTGCTGAGAACGCCTGAGGAGGCGAGACAGCTCGTCCAATCTGCCAAGTTTCCGCCTTTAGGCCGTCGAGGGTTCGGGTCACCAATTGCTCCTGAGCGATTCCACCCTGAGCCAAGCTTCTCAGAGTATCTTCAGCAAGCAAACGATTCTCTTTTGACCATTGTTCAAATTGAGACCAAGGAGGCACTTGAGTCTATCGACGAGATTGCTGCTGTGGACGGCATCGATGTGTTATTCATTGGACCGTTTGATCTTGGTATGTCGTCCACAAGTTACTTAATCGGCTCAAACGTAAAGTATTAATACACAACAGGCAACGCCCTCGGTCATCCCATTATCGAAGGAGTTATGGCCACGGAACTGAAAGACGCCATTGCCAAGATCCTTGCCGCGGGTCAGAAAGCAGGCAAGAAGACTGGCGTATATTGCACAGGAGGTGTACAGGCAAAGATATACGCTGACCAGGGGTTTGATATGATGAATGTAGTAACCGATTATACATCCTTGGGACTGGTGGCCAAAGAGCAGCTCAGCTTTGCTGATGGAAGCGCGGCACCAGCCAGAGGAAAGGGGTATTAATGTGTGTCGCAATGAGAAATCAATTCTTCTCTGCTTTGTCCATTTGAGCTTCGACTTGCTCGACTGTGAACCTGTGCATCAATTTGATGGCTTTGCCGACCTTGCTTGGCTCTTCTTCAGGCGCGGAGGCCTTGCTGATGTGAATCTGCATTATATGGATGTTAACGGGAATTGAAGTTTCTTGAGGCAAGTATTTCTGCTGACCACTGGGACATCAAAATCGTATATATCTCTCCATTGCTTGGACTCAGGCTTTGGAAGATCGACATTAACTTCTGTATAATCAAAGGGTCTCTTATCCCAAACATCTGACAAAACATGCTTAGCTTGGGTACAGAGACCACATGTTTCCCGGGTGAAGAATGTAATTCTTGTTGAAAATAGAAGACGACGAGTAGCAAACATAGTGAAGAGAGTAGATGAGCCCCGTGATATCTTTCTCAATGGCTCTGTATATAAAATCAATGTTCTTTTGAAAATGGCCTGAGAGCCTAGATGAAACGCATGCAACCGTCTAATTGTACAGCAAATCAGATGCGACCCCGCATCGAAATAGGAAAGCGGTGAGAATATAGCTCTGTTTCCAGCATCGTCATCGCCTCCACGGCAGAGCTTGAATTCTAGAAGCTCCCACCCCACCAAAGTCCAAGTCCGTGATACCCAAACACTCTCCTTTCTCTTCCCTCGAGACAATCACCAAAGTATCAATTCTTCCTGTGGAGAGCAGGTCTTAGACTATTTACGAAATGGCTCAAAAGTGTGTCCATCAGGGTTGCGGAAAAGAGTTTACCGATCCTGATGAGAAGTGCGAGTACCACCCTGGTCCGCCCATTTTCCACGAGGGGCAGAAAGGTAGGTTGATCAAGCAGAGCAGATGCTGTTTTAACCTGCCATTGTGCATTGCATTGCATAGTAACTAACCGCGAAAAGGATGGAAATGCTGCAAGCCTCGTGTCTTGACCTTTGATGAGTTTATGGACATTCCGCCTTGTACGACTGGCACACATTCGACCACCGACAAGCCGCCTCAGCTTGAAGAGAACCCCCAGCAGGATGATGCTGCCCTCGCCCAGAAGATCGATGCTCTGAACGCCGCCACACCGTCTCGCGCACCGATCCCAACTGCTCAGCACGCTCCTACTCCTCCTCCACTCGCTCCCGAGTCGGAAGATGATGATCCCAGCCTTGAGATTGCCGACGGCGTTGGTTGTAAGAGGAGGGCATGCGGCGCAACATACAAGAAGGGTAGCTCAAGAGATGACGAGGAGTGTGTTCATCATCCAGGAGTACCTATCTTCCATGAGGGAAGTAAGGGATACTCTTGTTGTAAGAGGAGAGTATTGGAGTTTGATCAATTCATGAAGATTGAGGGATGCAAGACGAAGAACAGACACTTGTTTGTCGGCAGTGGCAAGAAGGATGGCACCAATAGTGAGGAGGTCGTTTCCAACGTCAGGTGAGTTCACGAAACAAAACTGCGGCCAAATGCTATGATTGTTAGTGCTAACAGTTCCAGGCATGACTTTTATCAGACACCAGTCAATGTTATTGCATCCTTCTTCTTGAAGAAGATCGACAAGAGCACAGCCAAGATCGAGTTACAGCCAAAGCAACTTAACCTGAACCTCACAACAACCGACTCGCCCCCCAAGCGCTACATAGCGGAAGTCCCCCTCTATGCGTCGATCGACCCAGAGGAGTCATCGTATAGAGTGCTCGGTACGAAGCTAGAACTCGTCCTCGCCAAATCTGACGGCACCTCGTGGCCAGTTTTGCGAGGAGACGAGGCCCTGACAGGCGAGATCCTTCAGGTCGGCCGTGCTGGAAGGGCTTAATTGGAGATGTCAATTATGAGAAGACATGAGAATGAGCATAATATGGAGTTTATGTGATCGATATGGCGTTGGTGAGAATTTTAGATGAGACGAGACGTCGTGTCTCGCAAAGGTGCTGAGAATTAAGAATGGACTAGCGATAGCGAGGTAGAGACTATGGAGCATCGACAATGAACTGAGATGATCTTTGCCTTTTCCTTTCCACGTATTTACAAGTCTCGCTCTGAGTCTCAGTACTTTTGTCTTGACTTCGTGAAGGGCCACTGGCGTATGAAAATAATCTCCTGATCAAGTGATGCCTCAGCTGCTTGAAGTGACTGCCGCGTTACTTACGTTTAATACCGAGAAATCCTCCAGAAACCCTGTATCGTTGTGTTTCATCATGGGTCAGGACTCATAGGTGGTGGAACCATTGTGGATGGATGATAATGCTGACTAGTTTACTTTAGATTAACCAGAACCAACAACCACATCACCTTACCTCTTCCCATTGTAGCTTTTAAATATGTTCTGACTCCCAGTGTTACGACTCTTTTTGGTTTTATTCCCTGTATTTTCTTTAAACGCTTGTTTGTCGTGGTAATTATGTTGTATTCATTACTGGCTTGTCTTGTTAGTGTAGCTCATGCTACAACACTACAACCACGAGAGGATGTTGCACAAATAGCTCGGAATGTTTCGGGGTTTACGGCTTACGATGTCTTGAATTATACCAAAGTTGATTCTGACGATTCTTGGAAACTGGAAGTTCCTCTTCGTATACTCTGTGTCGGAGATTCTATAACAGAAGGTTGGGGAAGTGATGTAGATGGCGGCGACGGGAATGGTTATAGGCTTTCTCTCGCGAAACACCTATCACGTAAGTTGCTTTTTAATTATTTAATATGTTATTATTTGATGGGTATGCTGACATTGACTCAGGAGAAAAAGTTATCTTTGCGGGTACAAGACATAAGGGTTCCATGGAGGACAGTTATTATGTGAGATCAACCATTGAACCGAGATGCTACGCTCATACGTCTTTAGGCGGCCTGGTCTGGCAAGACAATTCAATATATAAGCGATCATGTCACAGAGTCTTTAGAACAAAAACCCAATCTTGTCCTCCTTCACGCTGGAACGAATGACATGGATTTACGACCGTCGATCTCCAAAGAAGGAAACGACCCAAAGGATGCTGCAACCCGTCTCGGCGAACTCATCGACAAGATTGTTAGGTACTGTCCGGATGCAGTAATCCTCGTCGCGATACCTCTAGCATCCTGTGACAGTCAGAAACCCAAGATGCCTACTTACAGAGCCCTGATCCCAGGCCTTGTACGACAGCGACGAAAGGTTGGCGATCATGTTATTGCCGTGGATTTCAGCACCTTTGATCTGGGTGATTTGAGAGACTGCTTGCATCCTACAAATAAAGGTTATGGTATCATGGGGGACTATTGGTATGACTTTATAACACAGGTGCCAAAGGGATGGATCAAGGAGCCAGTTGGTGATGATCCAAAGCGAGAAGAAAATGGGGTTGGAAGCAGAGTCCAACCAGACAAGATGTCTATTTTGGGTATTGTTTTATGTTGGGGTTTGTACCGCATCTGTTGGATATAAAAACTTGGCTTCCGGATAAACTAGAAATTTAGACATAGATGATATTAGTAGATTTGCTAAATGATTGACAAGCGGCTTGCGTTATCAAGACTTCGAGTATCAAGGGTGATGAAGCTAAGAGCTTGACTTGTAACAAGTCAAAACATGTGAATAGACTGAACGATCAACATCACAATTGCATCAGAAAAGCTCGTTCTTTGCAACATTCCTGCTGGATCCAATACTCAAAGGCCAGTTTCATACAAAATTGGGCTGAAAGATCCCACTCAACCTGGCGAATACAAATGCAGGGTCCCTGATAAGACGGGATTCTTGACCCGTGGCCGTGGAAATGAGAGGCATTGGATGATCGATAGGTTGAACGATCCCGTTCTCCCCCACATTAAATCAGCAAATTCCGATACGTAAACAGACAACAGAAGATGGCTTCTGACTGGTCGCTCTCGATTTAACCATCATCACAACCTGCTGTCGCTCATCGCACGTGCTTGGCGCCCAGATCTCAAATGCACTGTATCAACCCGCATTTAGTGACTTTTTACCACAGTTTTAGTTGTTTTTAGCGGTCGTCTAGGCGTGCTTGGCGAATCTCTGGGGGGTTGGTTGTGCGAACTGATAAGAGAAATCCATTTGAGTGATAGTGATATCGGTCGGCAGCCGATAGATAACAGCCCTGCTGTGGTTTTCTCATGATGCCATGTATCTCTTATCAAAGACGTCTCAGGCACACAAACAAGCTTAACCTGATGGCTGTGCTGTCCGTCCGGCCGATGACGGGATGGGTGCTATAAGTTGTCGCCATGCCCTGGAGCCACGCTGATGCCTGAACGGCTGTCTTTTATGTCAGACTCTACGTTATAAACTCAACTCTACTCAACTGTCGACTCAAACTATCTGATCGCATCATAGACTTCTATCTTCTTATCAATAACCATGTCAGCTGAAGTCTCTCACGGTCGCGGCGGCGCAGGCAACTTCAAGGTTGACGACACCGAGTATGTCGACGGCGAGGTTGTTCGAACTGGCGTTGTTGGAAGTCATGGTGATGGCGCATACAGTTCTGGTCGTGGAGGTAAGTCATTACTAGCAAAGTACCTTCTGCGCAGTGTTCTGTTGTTGTGTCTTTACACAATACATTATGAACTGCCAAACAGCTCAGACAAGTCGCTAACACAACTTCATCAGGCGCTGGCAACATCGCTGACATAGGCACACCCAGCACTGAGCGCAAGGACGTGGACATCATTCCCGAGACTGCTGTCCGACCGAGCCAAGACGGCCGAGACTACCATACCGGTCGTGGAGGTGCTGGTAATGCGCAGACTGCAGGTTCTGAGAAGGAGTCCGAGGAGCACGAGAAGCCTGTGGCCAAGACTCCTGTGGGTCTTGCCGACAAGCTCAAGTCCAAAATCTTTGGTCACAAGAAGTAGACTCGTGTTTGACTGTCTGTGATAAGTCTCGAATTGCGACTTGACCTTGACAAGGGAGGATTTATCGTTCTCAGGTTGCGTTATCGTTGATATTGGTTATTGTGGAAATACCCCTGATGCCATACTGCTCTTCAGAATAATTTTGAATTCTTATTATGTCGCTTGCTTTATCGCGCAATGTGCGAGTACATGGGATAAAACCTGACAACCCAGAGTGTATCCGTAGATGAATGGTTGGTGACATTGACAAATGCAACGCACCCCAGCTTTCTGACATTTCTGTGTCTGACCTGCATTCCTTACTCCAAATAAAGGTCTGACAGCTGCTGACAATGATATTGTTGGAGATTGAGCCAACTCACTGAAAAGAGGTACACAAGCAGAAAAGAACATGCAAGAATGTACCATATAACTTATGCATGTGCTAAATCCTCCAAGTTGGGCTGCCATGACGTTATTCCACTTATCAAGGATCATCCCTCATAGTCTTCCGTACCCCAGTCTCCACTTCCCCTCATTTCTGGCTTCTTTAATGGGCAATGAAATGAGTCGACAAGTTCAAAGATTCCTCGGAGAGCGGAGTGCCAGTGTCTCCGCTAAAGAGCAAAACGAGCTGAAAAGAGAAATACGACAATCCAGGATTGGCTCTGACCTGTGGGCTCTCGAGTCCCAAGCCCGAAGCTAAACCAATTTGGCATCGAAAAAAACCCATCTCTGATCTAAGAGAACTGGAAGTTCTGCAAGCACCTTGTTAGTGCTAGAATGGTCCTTAAAAGACCCTGATAAGAGCCCAAATAGCTCAGGGATCGTCACAGATAGTCTTGATTAAGCCGGCTTGCAGCGATCTTGTCGAGAAGAGACCCAAGTATGGCGAATAGGCATCGTGATACCCCGTCGTGATTATGGTCTCGTTAGTCCTCTTTCGCATGGGAGGGGCGCATAGGTTGATGGGATGAACAAGATGTGACGGTGATGGCCGTGGCCCTTGGCTTCTGGGTGCCAACCATGTTTAAGAATACGACGATGCGCATTTCACTAATAATCGTGAGTCTTTTCTTGTTATTCTGTTCTCTGCTCATCGCTGTATGAACGATTCAACAACGGTAACTTTCGGCGTTTACGTATCCATTGTCTTTCAACGTTTGCTGGCAGAGTACATGGCGCACTTCACGACTTATCGAGAGCAAAAACCGCTCTTTACTAATCCAAAACCGTCTTCAATCTCGTGAGAAAAAAGTGTCTGGTGTTGAATGCGCCTGGGACGACTCAAGCTCACCAGTCTTGGCCTTGTGACGACAATCACGTGCACCCAGTGAGATCACGGGTGCGACATAGCTACCAGCCATGGCGCCAAACCTTCAACCTCTTCCTCAGCGTCCGCGCCTTCAATACCATAGACCGTGGTCCGGACTCTCTAATATTTCGAAACGATCCTTCAGATCTTGCGCAACTTCTGCTTTCGAGGCCGACGACGAGCGATCCTCTAGCGACGGCGATATGAGCCCTCGCAATAGCCGAACTGACGTGCGACGGCCAATCGTGCCGCGTCACTCTGGCCACGATGCTCGCCCGACGAGTCGAAAGGAGCTTCTAGGGTGGTACGCCTATGCATTTGCGGCCGAGACGTATGTGATTTGTGGAATTGGTAGGTTATTGACAGAGAAGCAATATCTCAGGGCAACCTGGAGATCGCCAAGACCCACTGCTAATATACATGCACCAGCTTCCTTTATTCCCATCCTTCTCGAAACTCTCGCGAGAGAGAACGGTGTGCTACTCTCTGACCGGAAAACGCCATGCGGATCCAGCGACAGTAAGAACGAGGGTGATGGGCAATGTATTGTCTGGGTGTTTGGAGTAGAGATCAACACTGCAAGCTTCGCTATGTATACATTTTCAGTGAGCGTCTTGATTCAAGCGCTGCTCGTTGTCAGTATCAGCTGCGCTGCTGACCATGGAAACTATCGCAAGAAGCTTCTTCTCAGCTTCGCCTGGATTGGAAGCTTCGCCGTCATGTCTTACATATTCATCACGAAAGACAACTACATTCTCGGTGCCCTTTTAACCATCATCTCCAACACCTCCTTCGGCGCATCCTTTGTATTACTGAACTCTTTTCTTCCGCTACTTGTGCGATACCATCCCGATGTCATCGAAGCTAACGTTGCTGACACTCCGGATCTTGCCGATTCTGAATTCGAGTCACGTCCTTTGGATGACTCAGTGGGTGAACCCGAGGCGTCCAGAGTGACAACAACCTCACCTCTGTTGCTACCTGAAGACGGCGAGCGACTGAAACCAACAGCAAGCCATGCAGAAATCACTTCCAAGGAACTACAGTTGTCAACGCGAATCTCGGCGATCGGAATTGGTACCGGCTACATTGCCGCGCTCTTCTTGCAATGCGTTTGTATTGGTGTTCTCATCGTGATGCATAACACCACATGGGGCCAACGAGTCGTATTATTCATGGTTGGACTTTGGTGGACCATTTTCACTATTCCCGCTGCCATGTGGTTGCGGCCCCGACCCGGACCTCCGCTGGCCGATGACGGTCGCAGAGGTATCATGGCAGGACTCGCGTACATATTGTACGCATGGAAGAGCCTATTCAAAACTGTTCAGCAGGCTAGGCGTCTCCTTGACATCGTTTTGTTCCTTGCCGGATGGTTTCTCTTGTCCGATGCGATCGCAACCACGTCATCTACCGCGATTCTATTCGCCAAAACCCAACTCCACATGAAGCCGTGGGCACTTGGTATGATAAATGTCATTTCAACTCTGGCAGGGGTATTCGGCGCCTTCGGATGGTCGTGGATCTCACGGCTCTTTAACCTCCAAGCCCATCAGACCATTCTTGTCTGCATTGCATTATTTGAGTTGATACCCCTTTACGGCTTGCTGGGTTATCTTCCCTTTGTTAAAGAATGGGGCGTATTTGGCCTCCAACAGCCATGGGAGATGTATCCACTGGCGGCTGTATATGGAGTTGTGCTCGGGGGTTTAAGTGGTTACTGCCGCTCTCTGTACGGTGAGCTTATTCCACCCGGATCCGAAGCAGCCTTCTACGCCTTGTACGCTATCACGGACAAGGGATCCAGTGTCTTTGGCCCGACGATCGTCGGTGCCATCATTGACAGAACTGGCACGATTCGCCCGGCTTTCTGGTTTTTGGCAGCATTAGTTGGCTTTCCTGCGCCATTGATCTGGTTCATCAACGTCGAGCGTGGTAGAAGAGAAGGCGTGAAGCTCGCCGAGTCAATGGCAGGATCTTCTGTGGAGGAAGCAGACGATGATGAACACGAACCTGAGCGTCGTGGAATGCTGGCCGACTATCAGAGAGAGCAGGAAGGTGGTATCGTCGATGAGCACGCAGGTCATTAGTTCAGATAGTTGTTGGTTTTTGGATGGGTAATGTAGCATAGCGGCGGCGTTTACTTAGATGATTGGTAATCTCATAATTTGGGTACGATATATAAGTGCTATAGAAAACGAATTAAATTCAGCATCATAAATACAATGAACAAGCCACAGTATTTTCCTTTTTGCCTTAGAGTTGAGGCGCTCTTTTATATAGGTAGCGATGAATAACGCGTGAGCGAGTGTTATAAACTATTGGGTCGGAGTTTCTAGAAGTAGACTTCCCTGCACGGATTTTCGGGGCCTAAGTTTACGCTCAATGTAACGCAAACGCGCCTACATTTTTTCTCTCTATCCCCTCACTCTTGCTTTCCACCTTGAAACAGACTCCAGTTACCAACCTTGACTCTTCAAAACTTTACACTTACGCCTCACCCAATCACTCACCTACCCTCTATAAAATCTATCATCAATTTTCATCTCTGGAATAGGTTCCGAAACCCCAACTGGATCGCGCCAAGACTCCATCAACCTACGCCTCTAATAAGCTACCGAGCCAAGGCTTGTCCTGACGCGTTGGCTAAAGCTGGGCGCTAGTCGCTCTTCCGTAGGACTGAACTCCGTCCATCAGCTTAGGTGTTTAGGTGGCCCCAGTGCCAGTTGAGTCACGTGACGCTAGTCTTTTGGGCTTTTGGCTCAGTTCTTAGTTCTTCCGCAGATTGCGACGTTGCTCTCCCAGACAAATCGAGTCTCTTTCGTTGCGCACAGGACATCATCGCAAGCCGCGGCTTGTTGCTCGAAGGCAGCTTGGGCTCGGCTCAGCACAGATCGCGACATCGAAAAACCTAGTAAAATCAATCATCTTTCCATTTCTATCTAACCTTTTCTCCCATTTCCTCGTCGCTTCTTCGCGCGCCTTGTCGTTTCTCTGCAAACCCCTCCTTCTCTCCACTCCCGACGCGGTCATACCCAACCGCATCAAAACGCCACAATGAGCAATCGCAAGAGATCGCGATCCGTCGGGGAGGAGAATCGCGCTGAGTGCCCGTTCACGATTTCTTACGCGACTGGCCCTTCGGCCACTCAGGCGGAGCGTCAAAAAAGCAAGAAGCGGAAGCGCGATGGCCAAGATGACGATAAACGGGTCCAGATTCAAATCTCCCCCTTCTCCCCAACGGGCAGCTTCAAAACGCACGAAAACATGGACTTATACTACACTGTCGAACCAGGAAAACGATGGCAAGATATGACGCGCTACAATAGCTTCGTCCGTAAGTATCCGATGAAATCTTGGCGCCGTCCGTTGTAGGGGCTCATGGCTAACTCTTGGCAGTCAACAGTGTCAAGTATTACAGTGAAGGCTTTGTCAATGTTGCCAACGAGGTAACCATTGAACAACAAAAAGCTCAAGGTGATGGCAAGGGTATTTACAAGAAGAGTAATAACGACTGGGTCGCGCGCATCCTCGAGATCCGTGCTTCCGATGAGCACCACGTCTATGCACGCGTTTATTGGATGTACTGGCCCGATGAACTGCCTTATGGAACGGTGGACGGCAAGAAGACTGTCCAAGGCCGCCAGCCGTACCATGGTAACAATGAATTGATTGCTTCTAATCATAGTATGTTCTAGAATACTGACCAATATCATGCTGCAATGCAACTAACCAGTCTCTCTTTTTATAGTGGATATTATCAATGTTGTTAGTGTTACCGGACCCGTTACCGTCAACCAATGGATCGAGTCCGATGACGAGGAGATTCAAGACGCGCTTTACTGGCGTCAAGCGTACGACTGCCGCAACTTCCAACTTTCGGTATGTCTCGCAATACCTATTTGGTTTTCGCAAGTACTAATGACCATAAAGTCCGTTGAACTCATGTGCAGATGTCAAACTCCTGCGAACCCTGATAAGACCTTGATTGGGTGCACGAGCCCGAATTGCGGGAAGTGGATGCATCACGAATGCATGGCTCACGACATTCTCATGCAAGTCTACGAACGGCTAGGAACAGACAAGCCCCATCGAACCGAGGGATCGACCGTCAAGGAAGAGAAGCCCGAGGAAGCGACGCGCCCTCTATCGCCCACTGACGCTGAGGAGAAAGAGACACAACCTACGATCGATGTCCGCTCCGGCGAAACGAGCGATAATGTCCACGTCAAGAAGGCTGCTCGCGAAACACCTCGCGAAACAGAAACCCCTACACCTGGACCAACGCCATCCCGATCCATCACCACCGCGTCAGCCAAAGGATCGGCCAAGAAAGGTCGCAAGAAGAAGGCTGCAGACTCCAAGCCATACCTGGGGCTTTTCGAGGCCACTCTCAAGATGCAAGACGGCCCTACAGCGTGGGAGATTCGTGACCTACGTGAAAACGTAACGGGTGGTGACAAGACCTGGACCGAGAAAGCTCACTGTCTGCTATGTGGTTCCAGCATTGACTGAATATTCAATACCATGACCACGTAGCTACGCCGAGTCTGCTCCGGTCAGCAGGCTCCTTGAGTCTACAAGGTGCAACTCAACATTGCTTAGGGGGCCATACGGTGCCCGAACGTGTTACTGATGACTTGCGGACAACCTGGATGGCCCGACCCAGCTGTAAACTCGATACGGCTCATCGGGATTGTCAATGGTTAAGGTTTCTTTTGTGAAAATTTCGAGGTGACTTTCTTGGCGATTCGCCCACTGGTGGATATTCCGGGCGCGGCGTTGGAGGCGAATATGGCTATGCTGTGAGATTGGAAGATGGGTTGGTCTTGGAACTTGCGAGCGGTGAGGAAGATGCGTTTGTTTTGCTATTATCTACGAGGTTCAATTAAATGCCACGCAAAAGAGAAGAGGTAGTATAGTCTACTGGGCCGGATGGGCAAGTAGGGAGCCTGGAAACCTACAGACTGGGAGGGAAACTCGGGAAGTAGGGCGATGAGCTTATATTGGTATCGAGTTGGGTAGTGGTTAGGGTGCTAGTGGTTACCTGCCTCTGGGCTGGGCAATAGTGTTATTTTGTTTTGCTAGGCATCATCAAGGGTTTGTTGTTTCTTGAGAGTGTTTTTGTCCCCATTAATTGACTTTCTTTCCTTTAATTCGCGGTTTCACGGTCTTAGTCCTTGATGCGTATCTAGTGACAGCATATTGAACCTTGCATGATTGGAGAGTGTTAGTTTTAAGTGACAGACATTATTGCTCAAACTGATGCAGTCCTTTCGGTACATGTACAATTTCCTGCAGATTATCAACCTATGTTGCTTGCTCTTCTGCAACAAATTTAACCTTTAAACTCGTAGCGTTTCGTAAAGCCTCTCAGCCGGGAATTAACTATAGGATCTAATCTTCCATGAGCTTACCTCCACTACTAACCTATGTGAGTTGCAGTACGTACTCCACACGGAGCTCCATGACCCCGCTACTCCATAACGTCGCAGAGCTTCACCTCGACTTAAGGACCGCCTGAACCACTAGCCCTCTCCAGTACCTAAACAACAACAACCTCTCAATCTTACACAGTCCCTCAATTACCGCAGCCAAGGCCCTCGCGAGTCTATAATCATGGCTGTCGATCCCTTTGACTCCGCTCTGTAAGTACTTTCACCCTCCCGCGCATGACGTCCTCCCCGTATAGCTGACCGTTCAACTCATAGCGACCTTCTCCGCCGTCTCAACCCCAAGCAGACGACAGACCACCTCAACGCCATTATCTCCATCGCTCCGGACCTGACCGAAGATCTTCTATCGTCCGTCGATCAGCCCCTGACCGTGCGCCGTTGCAAGCAGACCGGCCGAGATTATCTGCTCTGCGACTACAACCGTGATGGAGACAGCTACCGCTCACCGTGGTCAAACCAGTTCGACCCTCCTCTGGATGAGGCTGGCTCAGGTGGTGTAGGTGCTGGTGGTAACGAAGGCGCTGGTGAGGGTGCGATTCCGAGCGAGCGTGTTCGCAAGATGGAGGTCAAGGCGAACGAGGCCTTCGATGTCTATCGCGATTTATACTACGAAGGTGGCGTGAGCAGTGTTTACTTCTGGAACCTTGACGATGGATTCGCAGGAGTCGTGCTTCTCAAGAAGTGTATGGATCCCCCCTTGATAATTGTGATTATAAGTTCGAACTATGAACGCTAACTAGATATCTCCTTCTAGCTTCCCCCCAAGGCGGCAATTCCGAAGGTGTATGGGACTCTATCCATGTCTTCGAGGCAATTGAGCGAGGAAGAAGCACACACTATAAGCTCACATCGACAGTGATCCTGACGCTGTCTACTGCTGGTGGCAACCTAGGCCAGATGGACCTTAGTGGCAACATGACACGCCAGGTTGAACAGGATCTCCCTGTTGATAACGATGATAGCCACATTGCCAACGTGGGACGATTGGTTGAGGATATGGAACTCAAGATGCGCAATCTCCTGCAAGAGGTTTACTTTGGCAAAGCCAAGGACGTGGTGGGCGATCTGAGGAGCATTGGAAGCTTGAGTGAGGGGGCACGGGATCGCGAGGCCCAGCGCGAACTCATCGGAAGCATGAGAAGATGATCTGCGCCTCGACCAATTCACTTGATATTTGAAGAGCAAGACCTTTGATAGACTGTCTCGAGATGCATGAACTGCACCATGGTGGCATCCTGGGCGAGTATTGACCATTGATTGCACCAGGAGCGAGACTTGATAGATGCGCCGGTGGATTGATATATTTATTTGCTTTGATCCAGCGTTTGCGTTGAAGGACTCGTGGCCATGAACAGGAGAAAGAATATGGTCACCGAGTTGTGGTCTCACTGCCTATAAACCCTATGATGATGAAAGAAACCACAAAAACATACGCAGTGGAGTCTGAATATTTCAATACGACATGATAGCATTAGCTCTGGTTTCAGGTATAATTCCATGACTGCTCAATCGTAATCGAGCAGCTTGAAAGCCCTCTTGACCGGCCCGCTTTCCCGCAATGTACAGGCATTTAGATGACAAGATATCGACACAATCCAAGTAAAACAGCCAGCTTTGACTCGACCTACTTGTATGGGCTAGCACGATTTGTTGATATGAACCTGACCCTGGACGTCGATCAAGTTCTTTCTACAAAGCCAACGGGCTTGTTGGCTCGCCATGAACTCATGGACACAGACGAAGGATAAAGTCAACAGCGTGGGATGTCCGAATAGTAGACGACTTCTTACGATGTGGACTCTCAGGCTCAAGATGACTATAGCTTGCGAATATCTTTGCCCATATCAGTTCGTGACTTTTCTTTGAGGTGGTCTTTAACCCATAATGCTCTTTTAGACGACAAATAGTGGCTTATCATGGTTGATACATACGAGCGCCCTGGTGCGCTAGGGACATGGATTCAGGACCTTCTGAGTCAGGTAGATGACACGTTCTGCACTGCTGTAGAAATGCATTGACACACTGCGTGGTTAGTACTATGAAGTAGAGGCCCTGCCGTAGCTTTCCACTGAAGCCTGGTAACCGATGCATTCTAAATATTCAGAGATGAAGGATGGTCCACCCTTGACTCGAGTTGGGCGTGAAATTGAGGCCAGGCTGAAGATGGGGAACGTGGTTGCAAGATGCAGTAATCACTTTTCTGTCAGATATGATAGACGGCAGTCTCAGAGACAGTGAAACCTTGACAGGGAGCTGAAGAAGACGATCAAGGAGACATGGACAGGGCGCTCGAATTCGTGTAACGAGTTTCGGAGATGGTATGAAAGGCGGCGGAGGGGGCGGTAAATCGAAGCCATGTTTAACGGTGATCTGAGAGCGACAAGGATCACGATACTCTCGATTTCTCTTCTTTCCCATGTACTCCATGACCGCAATAAGGTCTGTGTTGCGCATCTGACATGCAGACAAAAGCTACGGATCTTGGGGCCCTGGTGCTCTGTGCTAGCGCTCAGACTGGGTTCTTGGTGTTGTTGGCTCTATTTTATTTATTAGGCGTTGGTGTTGTAGAGGCTAGAGAAGGAGTCTTGTAGTGTTAGGTAGAGTGTGGAGGAACGATCACGGACGAGAGCCTGTTGATTATGTGATAGGTCAAGAAAAGAAGGCGTAAGATGATAGCTCCTGACTATGATAGTGTTATAATTAAGATGGTTGATCACTGGATATGGTTTTCCATGTTTATTGTGAGGCCGATGTAAGTGAGAGCTCTTGCCTACTAAGGTACCCAGCTGTACCTGCCAAGACCCAGGATATTGGTACAATCTGACTGAGAACCTTACCTTAAGGCAGGCAGGGCAGGTGGGTGACTTCTACGCTCTTGACAGGTTGTAAGACTCGGAATAATATGTGTTTCAACCATCACAACCACTTTTTTATCATTCCAACTACTCCAATCATCACCAGTTCTTGTTTTCTACCTACCTCTTCTCTTCGTCATTGGTAGAGACGCAAATGGAAGAATTCTAGAAAAGGCCCCGCATCGTTCTGTTCCCGTTCCCGATCTTGTTCCTGCCGCTTGCCACATGCGCACCTGAAAGACGCGTGCCCTGCCCCTGAAATTCAGGCACAGCCGTACAAGGCAGAATCACAAACCGCGAACAGCTGGCAAGAATTGGTTGTTGCACGTCGAAGCTTGGCGTCGGTTGACTGGCTGGCCAGGTTACAGTACATATGTAGCACCTCCAGTTCTGTCTGGAAAAGATCAAGATGGCCCAGTTGGCGGCCCGAACGGGATCTTGGATCGACGCACATGCCGGCACGCAGCACTAAAATCAGGTCTCTGCTGTATGCATCAATACATCGCCAATTCAGTCCTCACAAAGGAGCCGTGGCTTGGCGTCTCGAAGGATATCGACCACGGTCTGTAACAGTCTGGCATCATGGCATTTTTTGGTACTGTGGCATGACCAAAATAAGCCTCGTCGTTTATGTGTACTCGGAAGTGACACCCGTTTCGAACATGATTTGCGCCATGCTGGACGCCAGATAAGGATTTCAAGAATTAAGCGCCCTCGCCAACCAAGTGCTGGGTTTCCTTGACCCTCGCCCATGGGGTAATGAATTTTATTATCTTTCAACCGCATTGGTAATTACCACCGATGAGGTCAGTCTGACCAGATATTTTATGACGACTCACAAGCAGGGGAAACCGCCTGACACATATCACAACGAAAAGTTCCCTCACATTTTTTGCTCGGCTTGACTTGAATTTTGTCAAGCTGTTGGCAACTCACGGAGTACAAGAAAATGCAGAGACCTAATAGTGGTAGTCTCAGGCAAGGACGGCGATTGTCATGCTCCTTGACCCTTGACCCCAGTCCCCTCTGTCGGCATGTCCCTGGTCCCTTGTCGCAGTGACAATGACGAACATGGAGGCCCACTACAGACTCGGTAGCTAGGTGCTAGCCCGGCGATATGATGAACGGGGCATCCTGCAAATCCGTCCTGTAGCTCTGAATTAATTGTCCAGCCGCATGACCGCCAATTCGCATCGCATCTCCGCCAGCTACGGGACGGCTACCCCCACCGACCCAGCATTTTTAAAGCATTCTTCGGCCCTGACTCGCATTTGGAAATGTCAATGTCAGCCTCTTGCCAAGACTCCTTTTATGAACTGATAAGAAAGACGAAAGAATTCGAGTCGATCTCGAGTTAAGAGAACGGCAACCGACCTCAGCTCAAGCCAGAAAAAGGACTTTTCTGACCAGAGCCTTGACCTGAGTCTAGGAATGGAGTGATCGGAGCGGGCTCCCTCTTAACCCTACTTACCCATGTACTGTACATGTACATGGGAGTTCAAAGACCCCTCCACAAGCCGCCCACATATGCATTCTTAACTCATCTTTCAGGCCACTCTGCTCCCTTTGGTTTGCCGTGCATCTTATACATGCATGACCGCCAACTGCTCTGATATGTACAGCATTTAGTCATTATTAGGGCATAAAAGAAGGCATGGTCACCTATAGGATACTGTGAAACATGAGTCTCAGTCTCAGAACCGGCTGATGGAATAATAAGATGAGTAACTTCTTGGTGCCTGATATTCGGTAGGGCACAATATCGAGCTTTTGACAGGGCCTTTCACGCCCATAAACCCACAGCACGCCCCTCATTAAACTAGAGAGCAAAGACTTGGGCCCCCTTTGCTGGAAAAGGAGTCCACATTGCATCCCACTCACTCTTACACTGGCCGATTCTCCCCCTCGTCTTTCTCAACAAGAGATCCACTTCACAACTTCTCAGTCTATCAAGTCCATCCCTCATCGACGGAATTTCGAGGGCCCCAAGGGTCTAGCTATTTCTTGCCAGGCTCAGGCTCGGTCGTGTGGCCTTATTCAAGAAAGATTTGATCCAAAGTTGGGTCTCTTGACGTTAGTTCAGACCCCTGTTCATCCATCGCTCGTCCCAGAAAGTGGTTGGTGCGCCGCCTCGTGCCCTCGCAAAGTTGAAATTGCTACATCTGTTGATCGTGTTTCCCTCCACTCCCACCTCCCATCCCATACCATCCCGCCCATCTGGTTCCGTCTTCCGTCCGTCCTCCCGTTGCCTTCCCGCCTTGGATCAAACTTGTTCCCCTTTGCTCCCGCACATCGTCTCTACGCCGTCGCCGCACCAGCACTTTTGGGGTTCGATATAAAAAGTACTAGATCAGTGCTATTGTATGTCCTATCCAAGCACTTCCTTCGCTCCAAGGCGCCCTAGTATATACTTACGTGCGTGACTCCATGCCAGGTTACGGCCCTCCTCTCGATCAAACTACTGTGCTAGGTCATTGCCCAGCCCGCTCTCTATCCACGAGAAACCCGAACCACCTCGCTTCGACCAACGCTAAATCACACCGATCCTCGCATATCCGTCCACCTTCGGCACCCCGTGGGACCTCTTGGCCGGTTTCCATTTACCCAGCTACAACCCTCTACCCCCTAAGCCGAACAATCTTGTCCTGGCACTTGGACTCAATATTCCTCACACAGCAACCATTTATCCGTCTCGTTCACGATTAGAAGCGAATTTTGCCAAGGCACCTCACTAGATCTGCAGAGTTGAAGCGTGTTTTGTTGTACATTTCATCTACACCTCCCCATATATCGCCTTCGCGCTGCCGACGTCGAGGCATCTGCACCGTCACCTTGACCCCACGTTTGCGCACGATTATATCACGACCCGAATATTATAACTCTCACGACCATGGCCGAGAAGCCTTCGGTCTTGATTATTGGAGGGCTTGGCTACATTGGCCGCTTCCTGGCCCTCCACATCCACCAGAACGAGCTCGCTTCTGATGTGAGGCTCGTTGACAAAGTTCTCCCTCAGCTCGCATGGCTGGCTCCTGAGTTCTCCGAAGCCTGTTCACAAGACAAGTTTATGCAGGCTGATGCCAGCAGACCCGGTGAGTTTCTGCACTGCTTACTCTGTTGTTGGCTGCCCCGCTTGCTGGTGCAGGTGGCTCCCAATTATGTATGACTAGTTGGCTAACGACATGTTTCCCCCTCTTTCCAGAAGGATTAGCACGAATTTTTGACCGACCAGATGGGAAGCAGTGGGATTATGTTTTCAACTGTGGGGGCGAAACGAGGTACTCACAGGAGGATGAGGTCTACAAGCTTAGATCATTGAACCTCTCTATTGCAGTGGGCAAAGAGGCAGCCAAAAGAGGAGTCAAGGCCTTTGTCGAGCTGAGCACAGGCATGGTATACAAGTCCGACTCATCACCAAGCAAAGAGGGAGACAAACTCAAACCTTGGAACCGGATTGCTGTGTTTAAGTTGCAGGCTGAGGAGGAACTCTCCAAGATTGAAGGGTATAGTGGGACTATGACTTTTGGACGTACGATTCACTAATGCTCGGTACAGCCTCAACCTTATCATCGTGCGTTTACCGCACGTCTACGGACCTTATGCCTCTCAGTGGGTCGCGACGGCATTGTGCATGGCTCGCACCTATCAACACCTGGAAGACGAAATGAAGTGGCTTTGGACCAAGGACCTCCGAACTAACACAGCACACATTGACGACGTAACACGGGCTCTGTGGGAAATCGCAGCATGGTTTGATGCAGGCAAGGCGAAGTGGGACGAGGCCAGCATGGGCAAGATTCCTATTTTCAACATCGTGGATGAGGGCGCGACGAGCCAAGGCACCATAGCGACCATTATTGGTGATATTTTCAAGATCGAGACAGGCTTCCAGGGCCAGCTTATCAGTACATTTGCTCGACTCAACCTCGACAGTGTTGTGGACGATGTTAATGACGAGCTTCTGGGACCATGGGCCGACCTTCTCGCAGATGCGGGCATTACACGACCGGGGCCCCTAACTCCATTCATGGAGAAGGAATTACTCAAGGATACGGATCTCAGTATGGACGGAACGCGGCTCAAGACGCTATTGGGTTTCGAGTATAAGAAGCCCGCCCTCACGAAGGAGTTGATTGAGGAGGTGATCGAGAGCTACAAGAAGATGAAGTGGTGGCCTTGAGCGAGGCCGGGAAAAGGTTGAAGACAACATATGCGACATGACATGACATGATTTGTATGGCATGCATGCATGCATGGATGAAGATTCGCATTGATTTTGACTTGTTTCTTGCATGAACTCGACTTAGCGAAGAATCCGCCTGTTGCTGGAAGAGACTGACGATACCCGGGACGACGAAAGCCAACGGCATGAGGAGCAGGGGCAGCAAGACTCGACAGGGTTGAGCTGCAGCTGATTTAGTGTCAAATGAGAATTGGCGCAGCCAACAGGTGATGATGATGTCTGGGGAGGTAGATGAAGATGCTATACATGCACGACCTGGATACAAGGGGATACGCAGGGAAAAGGTCGAAGGAGATGAGTGTACCCGACTAGAGGGTAGACTAATAATATAGGCAAATATACTAGTTACATGTTAGATGGAGTTTTCGCTGCTTGTGATGCCGGGCATAGTTATGTGTACATGACATTGCTCATGGAGATCTTTTCGGCAAGGGTAGGATGATCTGGGGTTTTATAAACGATTAAAAAGAATGCTTGTCGTGCCTGAGCCGAGGCTTATGATGGCTAGACAACATGTGGAAGCGAAATGGTGAAGTTGGAGTCGCAGTATCCATGCGAAGGTGGAGATTGAGGATTAGCGATGCGGGGATAAGACGCTGGGGAGAGTCTTGGTCGACGTCGTGAACTTTTGAGAACATGAGGGTTTGACATGTTTGACATGTTGGGGTGATGTTGCCATGTATGAGATCCATCCAATGCCAAGTGAATAAGCACCTCCTGCAAGGGGTAATATCATATGGTTTAGAGGGAAGACGTCATTCTTTGCAACGACAACTTAAACTTGTATAGTAGGAAAGCTACTGTTCAATAGTTGCGATTGTCACTACAGGTGACTCTATAACTTGTCATGATATGATACAAGTAAAGCATGTGTTGCAAGGAGAATGAAAGGATTCTGAATACCTTACTCTAGCCACCGGGACCAAAGAGAAGTCCGCTTCTTGGCAAATCCGAAGCTATTTTATGCCCATCGACGGCTCAACTTCCTTATTCGAATTATTCCCGTTCTTTCAAATTTCGAATGGGATTCCTGTCTCGTCTTTTGTCTTGTGCCATCGTCGCTCAGCCTCTTTTAACATAGCTTCAACCCCGCACTGTAGACTACGATTCATAGACGCACCCCTACTATCTGTCTTGTGAAGATTGAACACCTACTATTTTGGTAAATGCTTGGAAACATAGCTCAACTGGGCCGTGTTCTTTCACAGAATACAATGAAACGTGACTCTGCAATTAGCCATGTTTTTGACCTCGGCGATTATGCGTCTTTCTCGGCGTTGCTTGTGATAAACACATTCGCTCAGCCTCGTTGTTGGCAAATAAAAGATATATAAGGCTCCAAGAAAGGCCAGTTCTCCTGTTCGACATTGTACTTACTTTCCACGCAGTGAAATTGTTACGTGTCTCAACTGTAGTACAGGTCATTTGTGGCGTGTCTATACTCTGAGGAAGGACCATACATCTGCGCTTTGAATCCTTGATAGCGTCATTTCGATCCACCGTCTGCCAGCAACGCAGCCTTATTATCAATACTATCAACAACTTAACCGCTGTTGTTTCCTTTCTCCTCAAAAACTTCTACACGAATACTCATATCTTGATATTTCTATCGACCACAACGCAACAATGGCTGCTCCCGCTGAAAAGACCATCTCTGACCTCAGTGGTAAATGGCTTCTCGTATGCTGCACTCCCACTCCCCCGCTTCAACATACAATACCCCTGTATCTTGTCACTGACATTGGTTCGCAATAGAACAAGACTCTGTCTGATAGCTCTGAGCCTATCCTCAGCTTACAAGGCATCGGATACCTCACCCGCAAGGGAATTGGCATGGCAACCATTACCGTCGACATCAACCAGTATAACGCCCCTCCCAAGCCTCCCAACACCTCCACCGACGTTTTCACCCACATCGACATCACCCAATCTGCCTCTGGCTTGACAAGCACCCAGGAGAACCGATGCCTCGATTTCAACAACCGTGAGCATTCGGACTGGCTCTTCGGCACCGTCAGGGGTCGATCCAGGTTCGTCACTCTCGATGAGATTGAGGAAGACTTCCTCAAGACTGGCTGGCTTGTTGAGGGCGATGGCAAGTTCATCCAGAGCATCGCTGAGAGCGTCGACAACGGCTGGGTCGCTAATCAGATCTGGGGCTTTGAGGAGATCAACGGCGAGAGGAGATATGTGAGGCATATCCTGGTGACCAAGGGTGACAAGAAGGTCACTGCCAAGCTCATCTACGACTACCAGGCTTAAAGATAGGATTGCTCCAGAACACTACTTGACCTAGTATAGACGACTGACGATAATAATTCTTGATTATCGCTCAATGACTCATGCAACAGTTGCTCATGAGACAAATATGATTTCATTGACCGATATGGAGTCATCCTAGACTGAATTTCAATGCACCAATTGCACCACACAACCTGTGTTCACCAGTGTATATTATCCCACATATTGCGCTATGTTGAAAGCAGCTTTCCTGCCTGGCTGGCTGTTATGAGCCTGCCGTAGACTCCATGATGCTCAGGTCATGGTTTCCCTAACGCCCATCCATGATGCTTAATTCTCGTTTGTATTTTGTTCCCTGCGACTTATTCCCGCGGCCTTTGTTCCTCGGGATTTTCATCACAACTCTGGCAAATCACATGCCAAAGATACTACTTTACTCGGGTCTTCGTTTCACAAACTCCTCGAGATCCTGTACCGTCGCGACGCCCAAGACAAACCTCCTCTTCTCATCCGTGATAACAGCAAACTCCTGCTTCCATGGCCCATCAGGTACGCCGCCACGGAAGAAGCTCTCAAGCTCCTCGAGAGTGGTCTCCATGGTAATGACTTGGTAGGTACGGCCCTTGCGCTGGAAGCGTGTCATGGCCGCCGAGAGCTGATCTTCGGGCTTGACTTTGCCTGAGTCGAGAAGAGACTGCAGGTGAGGAATGGATATGTAACCTAGCAGTGCGCGGGTGTCGGCATCGACGATGGTAAGGTGCGTGTAGTCGCGCTCAAAGGCGGACAAGAGGGCGAGGGAGATAGCATCGGAGGGGTTGAGTGAGAGTGCGGCCGGGGGGTCGAGGTCTTCGACAGTGGCCTGCGATGTATCAGTCACAACTCGGAGGAATAGAGTTTCTATGGAAGCTATATGCCCATAGCCTGGAGCGCAAAGTGGTGTCATGAGCAATGCTAGAAGTACATACCCCACGATATCGAGAAGACCACTTTGTAACGAGGGGTTGCGTCGCACCCGACGTTGTGGTGGTAGCAGCTGCAGTGGCCATTGTATATGCGATAGCTGTAATCGATAGCGGAAGGCAGGAATTGGGTAGTGATTGGCGAACAAGTTGGTTCAGTTTGATATGTCGGGGGGTTGAAGCGATCGCGGGGCAGGATTCTGTACAGTCAGTCAGGTCCTAGAGTCACGCAAAACGCTCTAATATGGTGGGGCAGAGAAGAAAAATTGGGAGCTTTTTTGTTAGTATCATGACATGGGTCATTTCGGTGGTGAATTGATAGACACTTCTTCTTCAGCCAAAAGACTTTCTATTACTGGTATTACTGCAACTAATCCAATACTAAAAGTATAGATAGCTTGTTATCAGTTCAATAGTTAAATATGCTTGATTGGAGATGGTGAAACTGTGAAGGATAAAAGCGGGATTCTGCCTCGTTTATTATATCATCCTATATGTATTATCTCTTTGAGCGGTGCAAGACTCTAAAGGGTCACTTGCCCCACTTAGCTTATCTAATCATACAAGTACCTGCAGGGTATAAGAAGTTCTTGTTAGACGGCTTTTTTAATTAATATATATAAATCCTTATATAAATTAACCTTAATAAGTCTTAAAGAAAATAATAAGCTCTTTAAAGATATAAGATAGCCTAGATAATTATAGCTTTAACCCTTACTTAAGGTGCAGCCATAATGACCCTACTGGGGTGCCGATTTTTCCGCCTAAGGAAGGCAGAGGCTCTAACTTTTAGCCTTTTAACCTAGAATATCGTGATTTTCAGATTAACCCTCTGCCCTAGGAACCACTTAAATTATTCTAGTTTTTTATACCTATTTCCCTTATATAGTTATAGATCGAATATACTAATAGCTAGGTTACTTACTTGCTTGAAAATGCCGTTATTAATAACTAAAATATACCCCTTTCTAAATACTTATATATACTTAAGTAAGAAGACCTCTCTATTATAATAGCCTATATATAGCTTAGAGTTATAATTTACTTAGGAATTTATAGGGAAATATTAATTAAGGACTATTAAAAGGCCCCTAGCCTAGGAAATTAGCGCCTTCTTTACTTTTTTATAAAGTTTATATTATTACTTAAGTTTAAGCTAATTATAAGGTATTTCTGCACTTTTAACTATATTAAGCTCGATATAAGGGATAAGAGTAATCTTCTAAAGACCTTCTAAGTAGCTAAAGAGTAGTCTAACTATATATAGAAGGCATCTACCGAGCTCTATCTTCCAGGGACTAATCTAACTGTAAATAAGTATATAATCCCTTTTACAGGCAGATCTAAAGAGATAATAGTTATTAAGAATAAACCTATGCCAGTAGGGTTTAAAGTCTAGGTTATTATGCAATAGGGCTACTTTCTGTAGTAGCTTTAGTATATAAAGGCATTACTATATAAAGCTATTATTATTAAGCTACCTATACTAAAGCCATATAGCAAGTAAGGAAAGCTTTAGACTAAAATCCTTCTTAGTAATATATAGAGTATTATAGTTTACCTATTAAAAAGGCTGCCAATATAGATATATTATATCTTTATAAATAACCTATTTTCCTTACTGTATCTCTTCTGCTATCTTCGGCAGCTTAGATACGGTGCTACAGGCACGGCATGCCCTAACTACGGCATTACTATTAAGATAAAGTATATAAAAAAGACTAAAAAGGCTCCTAATGGCCGGCCTTTAGAGTATAATAAGGTAATATTAATCCTGATATAAGATAAATAGGTATAGATAACTTTATATATATTTCCCTTACTAATTTATCCCTTTTTATCTCCTTTAGGTTATTTAAATTGCCTAAAAAGATAGTAATATTATGCTTTTCCTTTTAACTATATATAGCAGAGCTCCTTATAAGCATATATTAAAAAAGAGGAAACTGCCTGCTAAAAGAGGCATAAAGGCAGAGGCATAGTGCCTGCAGTAGGTCTTTAATAGAGATAGCTTTAAGATAATCCCTATTCCTACTATTGCCGCTATATATAACAATAAAATAAATCATATTAACCGCGGCGATTAGATATAGTTATATATAATATATAAATATTATTTCTGCTATAGTCCTTAGCAGGCGCTGCTTTAGTCTTTCCTTCTTAAAGTTATACTTGCAAATAGCTTTATTTTGCAGCTTTATATATAATAGCCTTATTAGAAGCCTTATATAATATTAAAAGACTAGAAGGAGTATATCTATAATGCTATTTTTAATAAATATACTTTAGAAAGTTATATCAGGAAGAGAGGCTATATAAGGTTAGAAGAAAATATTAAAAATATAAAAGTATAGCAAAAATACTTATAAAGAGATATTAATTATATTAATAGAGGATTAAATTCCTCCTGCCTAGCTTATAAGGGCTTCTGGCAGGGTTAGCCCTAACCCTTTAAAAAAAGGAAGATAAAAGGAGGTTATTTATAGCTAGTATTAGGAAATAACCAAATTTAGAAGAGCAGGTATAGCTATAAAGTATATAATATAGTAATTTGTAATAATAAAAACTGCTAGTACTTCTATTATATGCTATTTTAGGTATAGGTGGAGGTACTGATTATTGCGCTAATTTTGATTCGCTCTAGACCCCTGTCGTGACCGCCTTAGAGTCTTGCACCGCTCAAAGAGATAGCTAGTGTCGAAATAAATCATACATCGGGGTTCAATAGGAACAGAGCTCTAGCTATCCCCACAGCTCCAGGAACAAGCCCCATCTGCAAGCCGTGGATCTTCCCGCTAGGGAAGTTCTTAATTAGCGTTCAACACAAGGTCGATCTAAGTGAAATTATATGTATATCAAAGACGAAGCAAATGGTTGAGCTATTGTAGGACCTAGTAAGTATTTACAGAGACCTAAAATGCCTTACACTGGTGAGATAAACAAGTGTCAAATATGATATGAGGAAGCGCATCAACAAGATGGAAGGCAGGTGTGACAAGCGTGATGTCACCACCCGCTCAAATGTGCCTGCTACGGGCGTCATCCTCCTTCCCGTTATTCACGGAATTGGAAGTCGCATACCACCTTAACTCCGCAAGATAAGGTACTACAACAACTTCCTTGGACGTTTCCTGTTTTCTTTCTTTCCTCTCATCCTGCGATATATTCTCTCGATACCTAGTTTCTGGGTTAAGCTCGCTCGCTGGAGCTGAAAGGTCATATCAGGTACGTTTAATAACAGCAACCGTTTTTCCTGCGTCACATTGTATCAACAGCCGGCTCAATCGGGCAGATCATATCTCGTGCTCCTGTTTTTGCGCCTTTTCTTTGTCCCCTTCTTATTTATCATTACAATCATTCTACGTGATACTCTTCTTTAGAGTTTCAATTGATCAGCTCCACTCTTGACTTGCATGAGGTATCACTAACACACTGGTAGAACATCATCGCCTGCATCGGACTGCTATAATGTCCCCATTGCACCCATCCAAGGACGTCCTCCAGGGAACGCTCTACAGCCCCCTCTCAGCAAAGCCCCGCACTCCTTATGAGGCTCGCCTTGAGCTCTTTCCCGCCTACTCCTCCGTCGTACAAGATGCAAAGGGAAAAGCCAAGGAGCTGAGCGTCGAGGCTACAGCCGAATTTGAAAAGGCGAGCGCAAAAGCTCAAGCTAAGGCTGGAAAGATCGAGTTATACTCTGGGAAATACTATGCAGCCTGCACCGTTGGTGGTCTGATGGCCTGTGTAAGTGTCCATTTTAGTGTTCAGACGAGGAATATTTCCTCGTACAACACTTTCCAGCATAAAGAAACTGTACTCATCAGAAACAGGGTCTCACTCACGCTGCCGTAACTCCCTTGGATCTCGTAAAAACCCGTCGACAGGTTGATTCCAAGCTCTACACCAGTAACTTCCAGGCCTGGGGCAAGATCTACCGTGCTGAAGGCGTTCGTGGTATCTTCACGGGTTGGAATCCCACCCTCTTTGGCTACTCTGCCCAAGGTGCTTTCAAGTATGGTTGGTATGAATACTTCAAGAAGACCTACTCCGATATGGCTGGTCCCGAGGCCGCGCAGAAGTACAAGACCGGTCTGTATCTCGCTGCCTCTGCCTCTGCTGAATTTCTTGCCGATCTCGCTCTCTGCCCCTTTGAAGCCGTCAAAGTCCGTATGCAAGGCTCGATCCCTAACCCCTACACCGGAACAATCCAAGGCATTGGCGCCATCACAGGCAAGGAAGGCGTCGCTGGCCTATACAAAGGTCTATATCCTCTATGGGGCCGCCAAATTCCCTATACAATGATGAAGTTTGCCTCGTTCGAAACCATTGTCGAGATGATCTATGACCGTCTGCCTGGCCAAAAGAGCGACTACAGCAAGGCTGCCCAGACTGGTGTCTCCTTTACAGGTGGTTACCTGGCTGGTATCTTGTGCGCCATCGTCTCCCACCCCGCCGATGTTATGGTCAGCAAGTTGAATTCCAATCGCCAACCTGGTGAAGCTTTCGGTGGCGCCATGAGTAGAATATACAAGGACATTGGTTTCAGCGGCCTATGGAATGGTCTCCCCGTGCGAATTGTCATGATCGGTACTCTTACCGGACTTCAGTGGATGATTTATGTAAGTATTCCTGCGCAATCTCGTTGGCGACGAGATGTACCTTCTGAACTGTCTACTAACAACATGTGAAGGACTATTTCAAGATCTTTATGGGTCTTCCAACCACTGGCGGTGGTCCACCTCCAGCCCAGAAGCAGGAGTAGGCTATCTCGGCTCGCCCTGTAAAAGTGCATATGAGTCGCTTGTGCCGTAGTTGTCAAGGACTTTTGGTGTGTGTTAGTTTTCTGTTCATTCAAGTGGATTGGAAGCAAGAGACAGTATTGATAGGCCAATAAACAAACCATTTCCACGAGAGCATTGATTCCAAACAACAGGCTTCACAGCCTGGTTGAGGGTTATCGCCGGGATAATCGGATCTATGTGGAACGGCCCATCCGCCTGTGGAACACCCAGCTTATCAACAGCCATCCTTGTCTGGGCACGACTTCGGTCTCGAGCAGCTGTAGAGGAAAATATGCTACGCTTGGCCCTATTCGATCCGTGAGAGGGATTTGTATGTCATCCCGCTGGTTTCCTGCATGAGCGATCTGGCAGATATATGGAAGCCTGCAGCCGGAGGCAAAGCGCTAATCGACAAGGGAGGTGAGCTCAAGGTCTTTTATGCTACGAGTAAGAATGCTTGTACCTGGTTCTTGCTTTGCGAGCTGTATATTACAAGGAAAGCCGGCTTTGCTGCTTACATTTTGGATTCATAATATGGAAACCGGAGCGAGCTGACAAAAGAGGGTCTTGTGTTTATACCGGTATTACATCTCCGGTTGAGCGTCCAAGGCAATAAGGCCCTTTAGGATAATTGGGGTTGACACCAATATTATGATATCAACACACTTATCATGTCGCTTGA